TTACTAAGAGATTTACAACCCTTATTGCTAAAAAATATATCATAAACATATAAAGTTAGGATTACATAGTTGAATTACTATGAAAACCTATTAACCTATATAATATATTATAAATAATAATACAGTCTTTATTTGACACGCATAACTTGTAATATGATATAATTAGGAATTTATTAAAATATAATGATTAAGTATGTTTACTCCTGTGTTCCCTGATGAGTTAGAGACATCTGTTTATTGTTGGCGTTGATTGTACTGAATGTATAGCACTTATCATGCCCATATTATGTAAAACGTAAAACGCCAATATTAGAATAACATGTGACGGGGCCGACTAATGCTAACACTTGGATTAATTTAGTTTATTCACAGTGTTTTGTTTAATCAGAAACTAGAACGTTACTAGTGTACATCAAATTCCATGACGACATAACCAGAAACTTTTTTTTAATGGATTGTAATGAAACGCTAACCCGGCCTGCGCTATTAGTATACGCTGGCGGGGTACCAGTGAGGTATAATAGGTGAGAATGGAAAGGTCAGTTAGCCCATCATGATAAATGTATCTGAAAATGAGCACGATGGCTTTCATGGGAGACCACGTGGAGGTCAATCTGACTACGCTATATCGCTAGCAATGAGACTGGTAGTCCATGTTACTAGCAATCTCTTTCCCCCATCCAGAACTGTTAGAGTAGCAATAAATAACAAATAAACAAACTCACTTTCATATTTATAATAATAATATTATAAAGCTTTCACTGAGCGGGATAAAAAGTAGCCTATGTCCTTCTTCAAATCCTTATCTACCAAATTCGTCATAATAGGTTCTGTGGTTTAGGTGTAAAAAATATCACGCATATGTGATATATATATATATATATATATATATATATATATATAGTGTCATCCACACTCTTTATGTGATAACAATGCTGAACCAAAGATATAATAGTGATGAATACTAATAACTATTATCATAGTACTGCTTATGTCTATAGGCGACGGTTACCACTATCCATCATGTGGACCATCAGCTTGTTTGCCATTCTAAATTGTATAAAAATAATAATAATAATAATTGGTTACGACTCTTATACTTACACTTTATTCTATAAATTTAAATTCAACTACATTTGAAAGTTTCACATTATAGAGAATCCAAAATTTTACTGTCGTACAACCAATCACGACGTCCTATCACTCAATTTGTGGCGACACATATCTTTCACCTGTCAACATTCAGTCAAACAGTCATTCATGTACGATGTAACGTTGGACTACCCTAAAGCTATTTCGTATATAAAAGTCGTATTGTAAAATTGATCACTTATAATAAAAAATCGTGTTCATACATCTTTAATTAATCAATATAAACAACACACTCGCCTTAAATTTTAACTATGTAAAAATATTTTATAGATTACATGCATTTTAAATTTTAAGTATTCATATTATCATATTAAACAAGTGTAAATAACAAATACATTCACTCACTGAATTGTTAAGCAAAATATTTTTTACCAGTTTAACGACTCTGATTATAATACAAAACCTTAAATTATATAGATAGAGCATCAAGTCTCGAAAACAAGTCAACTTTTTGTCAACTAATTGTCAAATTAGCTGACTAGTTTTTTATCAGTGTTCTTCGAGGGGAGGTCAAAAAGTTCATGCAATGGAGGGGTTGGTAGAGGTTGGTTTACTCGTCCAAGTAGTCACTTGTTAAGCACCAAATCGAAACCAAGTTTGAACCAAATCGGGTCATTACCTTTTGAGTTATCGACCTGCAAACAAGTGAATCGGGAAGAAGTCGGCGAGAATGGCGAAAATTGAACACCGCGCCTTTATTAAGTTCCTCGCCAAGCAAGGGAAATCCGCTCAGACGATTTTTCAAGATGTATTAGCAGTTTACATGGATTGTGCCCCTAGTAAAACCATGGTTTACAAGTGACAGCTCCGAACGGCCAATTGAGGCGACCACACCAGAAATCGTCACAAAAGTAGAAAAACTTACATAGAAGAAGCAGGTTTGCAGGTTGGAGTATCCGAAACAAGTATTTTAAATATTCTACATGATCATTTTGGCATGACTAAGGTCAGTGCATGATGGATTCCAAGAATGCTCACGCTACTTCAAAAAAGTGAGCGTATTGAGTGTTCTCGCCAGTTTTTGTAGCTCTTGTGTGGAGAGCGTAGGAAAGAAGTTATGGCCCCGATTGCTACTGGAGATGAAACCTGGGTTCACCACTATGAACCTGAGTCGAAGCAAGAGTCAATACAATGACATAAAAAAAGCACAACTCCTCCAAAGAAGTGTCACAATCAGCCGGAAAGATCATGGCGACTATCTTTTGGGATACAGAAGGTATGCTGATCGATTATAACGATCGTGGTGTAACTATAACGGGACTTTACCAGAGGGAGAATTTGTACAAAAGTCGATTGCTTGGGTACCTCTGTCCCATTCGTGTTTCTATCGTGAAGCAGTTGTGTTTGCATGGCTGTGTTTCGGTTTGAAGGGTGGGATATGGCGTGAATTTACAGGGTACAGAGGAATAATACCTGAGTCCTCAGGAATGGCAACGCATGGGGGGTATCATGGGCGAAACAGTATACTCTGTTATGTCCATGGTACTACTCATGTCTATAGGCAACGGTTACCGCTTTCCGTCGGGTGGGCCGCCGGCTTGTTTGCCATTCTTAGATGTATAAAAAAAAACTTTCTTTACTAGACAGATTGAAAGAAGCTATCTAGGAAAAGTCAAAAGATATGCTCCTTTTGCACGACAACGCTCCCGGTCTACACGTGCATTGTTTCGACGGCTGCCATTTATCGATGCGGGTTTAAAAAATTAGACCACCCGCCATATATGACTTTGCCTGTAGATATATATATCGTAAAGGAACAAAGATACACAGAATTTTATGATATACCTGGAGTTACCTATCAGGATATCACGGAAAATGTTGAATATTCTAATCTATTACCTACCTACGTCGAATTGAAAACTTCAGGGATATGACACTGTAATTTTTATAATACGTAATTTCACTATACTGAATCTAAAAATAAAAAATAAATTGTTTAGAATTGTTTTTTTAATAAAACAAAATTATATTTATGGACTGTTATAAGGCATGATGAAAAGTATAAAAAATATATATAATATAATAAAATGACATTTTATATCGCATTCATAATTACTTCTTAGAAAAGAAGTCCATTCTATGCGAAAAAATCTTTATTGATACCAAAAAGAAATTCTAAACTTGAATGAGGGGACTCAATTTTATTTTAGTACTGTGCCAAAGAGGGAAACTTATTAACGGGGCGGCTCACGTCGTGCGGACCCATCGCGTACACGCCATGTTGGGCCTACTAAATATAAACAACTGGGCTTTATACACAATCAAATCGTCCCGCAACCTCATACGTTTTATATCTATCTATATGTCTTGATTTTTTAAACAACTAAAATTAAACTTACATTGACAATTACTATCTAAATGATTTAGTTATAATTGATTATAAAGGATGGTAAATATAAACATGCATTACATACCTTTACTTCAATATTGACAAAATTAAATAACAAAATCAATATGAATACAACGTGGTCAAATCTCTATCGATGATAAAAACAAACAAAATCGGTTTAAGCATTATACAGTCATAAACTTATCTAAATTTTCCACACCTACTTACTGCTATAACAACATGATCTTATTTATTACATGTTTACCATCTTCAGCTTCTACCATTAATCATTTATTTCTTTCTAGCATAAGCATCTATTCATTTCTACCGTTTATTTATTTAAAATAAAATTACAGCAATTGTCTAAAGTCCTTAATCTAGTGTTAGGCACTTCCTGTAGTTTAAGAACTCTAGAAAATTATTATAATATACACTTTTATTGAGATAGAGTTACACCAAAGAAGCGAATGCTCTTTTTTCAATATACAGTGGAATTCCCCTACTATTCCAAATGGAATAGTAGGGGAATTCCACTGGCAAATTAGTTACTTAGTTTAATAATATATGCAAATAAATATATATTTGAAGCTTATGCAAATTAAAGAATTATTATTGTAAATAAATATTAGTATGATAAACCCCTTCTAATCTTATCAATATTTGTTCCACTAGCAATTATATAAAGATGGCGCCACTTGCTTTCAATGTTTCTAGCACAGAGTGCCGTAGAGGGCTTTATTATTCTCTCCGATTTTTTAAACTCTCTGATTATAAGTGGCATAATGTGAAAAATTCTACAGTTTTGACTGAAATGCGACCTTAGAACATTCAAACAATCAATATCGACACACTGAACTAAATACCTCATTTATTCTTTAGAGTGTGGAATCAATTGCCCAGTCCTTTACTTAAGATCCTCTTTCTTATGAAAAACCAGACAATGATCCTCCAAGACCATAAATACATACACAGAATACTTAAACCCGATTCTATTTCGGAAATTTAGTTACTTATGAAAAGGTATGACCAAGAATTGTAAGGTACGCCAATCTCATAACAACATAAATCAATAAGTATCACTAAACGTAATTATATGGTACACAGCGCCATCTAATCCCGAACTAAGCAGAAGTTCTACGATTACTACACAACTGTTAAATATATCTACTTATTAGAGATTTGTCTTTTTTATACTAATGGTAGCAAAATAATAAACAAAATAATTCTAATCAAATAACCAATAATAGGTAAATTACAGTTACAGTTATAGACTCGTACAAACTGTATAACAAGCTAATGTTTGGAAGTACTAGTCTACTCGAATCCCCTATCTTTCGATAATATTAAAATGATTACAATAAATTCTAGTGTGTAAGTATATAGATACCATAGTTCTACTAAAGCAGCTATTTTCTTGTTTTGTTTTTATTATTGCTTTTCCAGTCTGGCAATACGTATGTTATATCAATTATTTAAACTGCTGGTAATATTATAAATAGAGGAATTTTAAAAATTTATACAAACTATAGATAGGTGCATTATCAGCAGATGACATTGGCTGTATTTTATTTTCAAAGAAACCATGTGAAGTCAGGTGGGTCGCTAGTATTTAATAAATACATCTTTAGACAAGGACATTATATGAAATCGGTTAAAAATAGAAGTTGCCAGAACGTGAGTCAGGCTGACCGCCTCTTGACGCCGACTCGCGAAATTCCATCAAGACATAGCCTGATAGAATTTCGCGAGTCCGGATTAATACTCGGGCTCGGTTCAGTTTAGGCTCGGATTACCAGAGACTACAATGTAATTAGTTTTGGCGCTACGTGATTTCCACAAACAACATGGCTATAATATGTTGCGTAATATGATTCATTTACACTGTATTTATTTTGTTTGTTGGCAATATTGAAGTTATGACATTAAATTATAGACAAGTATTATCAGTACGCATTAAAATGGATAAAGTTGAACATTACGCCTAGGTCTCACTATAAATATACAAATATGTTATTAAATAAAACACCTGCATATAATATTTTATTTTCGTATGATAGTTATATGTCCATCCTATTATTCATATATAAAAATTATAATCAATCGCTTCTGGTAATAAAACTGTAAGGGTTGAAAAATCTCAAAGCTAATGCGCTTTGAGATTAATTCCTTTCACGCGAATATTTAATAAGGCAATTAGTAATATAAAAAATACAGTAACCAAATTAGTCACTTTTAAGGTTCTATACCAAAATTGTACAAAGGAACCTTTTGTACTATTTTTATATTTTATATTTGTGCATCCGAGCATCCATCACCACCAGCGCTTTATATGAGTAACTACTAATTCTAAATTTGGAATAGTTTTCGAAATAATTCGCCTACATATATTGCAAAAAAAATTAAAAAAATATTTTATTCTTTTTCTATGTTAAGTAGTCCAAAAGGAAAAGAAATTATACTCCAGGTGTAGGTAATATCAAATGAAAAGACTTTCTAATTGTATGTTCTAAAGCCGTTTTTTTAATTATTTTTATGCTGCTTAACTTTACTTTATCTCCGAAGTGTGTAAAACAAAAAAAAATATAATTACAGTTTATAACGGTATATGACAGGAATATTACAGGAAAAATAAAACTATGTTGATTCTAACTAGCATAGTTTTTGAGGAATTATTAATAAACCTCCAAAAACCACAATATTTGGGCGGTTCAGATCCTAATTAAACAATTATAGCTCAAACTAATATATTATATAATAACACTTAGGTATCTATTCCATATATTTATTACCTTACCTTACGTATTATTAATTGTATAATACGTAGGGTCATTTTGTATTATATCTATATATAAAACCATCGACGTGTGAGTTCAGCTTGCGTCTGACACGTTTTATTAATATTGATGTCTATTTTTACTGACGGACGACCAATCGAATGTAACTTACTAGTATATGTACCCCGTACCGCGTATCTACACTGAACTTGTACAGTTATATATAACACTGTTGTTGTTTGCAATGATACAGATAGGATGACAATTATCTGAACCATATTACGTTACTCCTTTTAATTTCCGTAAACAAATTACTTAACAGTTGAGATACGGAACACCGTTATGCAAATCCGACTTGCATTTGTTTTATTTCAGTAAATTATTTTTAGAAAAATTCAAAAATACGTCTTAGTTTTTTAGTCTTCAAATACATCAATAAAAAATCAGTAATAAACCTTCATTATATACTAATTAACCTTTTACCTAAAAAAGTAAAAAAAATATTACAATTTTAAAATTAAAACCTTTTTATCCGTTTTATTTAAAAAATAATGTTAATATATATACGATAAGTAAATAATTAAAATTATAGGATGTCTTAATACGTATTAAATCCCAGCGGCTACGTTCACACCTGCCGACTGATTCGTGTGCGCTGGACCAGAAATTGTGACGCAAGAAATAGCTCAGAAGAAATTTATTCAAACAAAACTTATTGAAAAAAATGGGGGCGACGCCTTCGCAACAACACCTTGACACGAAGCGCCCTTGACTTCAGTGAAAACAGTGGCCAGTCGAGTCTCATCTCTTCAGACTATTCGTAATCATGTTGTGTATATTTTATGTAATAATAATTTCATATAATTTTTATTGACTAATCATGTTATATACATACCTAATGTAATTTAAATCACTAAAACATATGCCCCATTTTCGTAAATCCGTAATAAGTAGATACATACTTATAGATTATTTATAAAATGTAAGAAATATGCTAGTAAACTTCGAAAAATGTTTAAATATAGTAAAGCTTTTGTTACTCAATCACGCTAAACATCTAAACGGATTGAAATAAAATCGGGTACTTTCATAGACCATAATAATATCCTAAATAAACACATCATATCTTTTTATCCAAAGTTCCGTGGCTTTATTCTTTTTTCGGGCAAAGCGAAGGATTACATACAAATAGTCATAAATAAATTCCTAGACACATTGCAGAAAATCTGTGTACTATATTATACAATATACTGTACATAATCGATTTTATTCCACGAAGAACACCGCTTCAATTGTCGCAAAACTAGTTATAATTTAACTATAAAAACTACTACTAAACAGATTTTGATAAAATTTCGATGAGATAAATATTCTTTCAAATAAAAAAGAATTTTCCAAATCAATTTATAAATAACGGAGTTCTGAAATAACAAATATAAAAAAATACAACTAAATGGAGGATTTCCTTTTTTTTATACATATTGGGTTCAAAATACTTGCTTATATACGCGGCTAGAGAAAAAAATACTTAAGAAGACTATTACAAAATGACGATTCTCAAGCTTAGGTTACGTGCTTTGAGTAGCCCAACAAAATTTAATTGTCCAATTAAATACAACTTTACATATTAATACTCATTTTTTTTCTAGAGACGTGATTATTATTTTTTTGTCGTTGTTATATTAGTTTACAAATATATTATTTATATATATGTAGTCTTATTATTTATATACTTTATATGCAAAAATTGTATTATATTTATAAAAAAAATTGAAATTATTTCAGCAAGATCTGATTTAAAGTTGAATTAAATTAAGATCAATTTACTCACTTATATGAAAAAAAAAGTATAAAAAAAACGAGAGAACAGTCTGACAATTAACAAATTACCAAGTTTTAATAACGACACCATACGAACTTTATACCAACTTATTAATAAACGAGGACCACAGTCATACATTACATAATATTATATCATTACATAACAGTAATTAATGACCTTCCTCAAGGTCAACGCTATTATTCTACCCATTTTCATCATAATTGATAGTACAGTATAGATAAACATGAATAGATAGGCATTTTATTCTAAAGTACGAATCTTTTCTGGACAGATGATTTTCTACATTCCGACCACTCTAAAGGCAGCAAACACTCGCCTCTAACTCACCCCGGAACTATTGAAACCTTTAGTGGGTAGTGAGTTGTTAGTTTCCGCAGTCTTCTTTATCTCCAATTTGCCATAGAAATATATAATGGACTCTAGAAAAAAAATTAATATAATCACAAAATTTCAATAACTATTTTACGGATTAAAATTTGAAGTGTCTATTGAAAGTTTCTCTTCAATAATAAATAAATATTTTGTCCAGCAAAGAAAACTGACTTCAGTTGTGACAAAACCAGTTATTTTGGTCCAAAAATTAAACTTATAAACCGATCGCGATAAAGTGTCTATGGGACCAGTCTGTAAGTATGTATATCCTTTTAAATAAAAAAGTATTTTTGAAATCGGTTTAGAACTGACAGAGTTATGCGGTAACAAACATAAAAAAATACAACCGAAATTAGAACCTGCTTCTTTTTAAAGTTAGTTGAAATAAAATATTCTTCTTTTTCTTCATTTAATAACAAAGAGACAATACAACCGGTCAGTATTACTGAACGCCCATTGCATCAATAAACAAGTTGGTGCTACGCTAAGGTGCTACATTATACTAACACCACAGTAAAAAGATCTACTATAACGCTAATTGATAAGAATACGGGGCATATAGATCAGTAATTCGTTCTTGGTAAATTGGTAGTTTTATAATAATCTAGGAGTTTATTATCTCGTAATAATAATCTAGTTTTATAATAATCTCGTATTTAAGTGTATCCTAGACTTATCTAAAAAAAGATTATAATCTTTTTTCAGATAGAGGTGAAACACGTGTCGCAAAACTTGCGTGAACAAAATACCAGTTGGAAATTAATGGTTGTTATGGAAAGATGTGGAAGCTCTAATAGTAATAGTGATGGTAAATCTTCGTGTGTAGGCAGTCACACACTAATGGTAACGGAATTGAATAAAATAATTCTAATCAAATAACCAGTGAAATAAACTACCGCAAAATAATGCCTAGTACAATAATTAAAATTTAATTCTTGTACAAGTAACATATAGGTATTTAGATAATTACATAAGTAGTGTATTGACATAATTTCTACTCATAATATATTTAAGTAACTTGAAGCTAGTCATACTCTCTATAAAGTCCTGAGTGGTGGCGGCGTGATGGGCCGGGTCGTTTAGTTCTCTAAAATATGATGTCTAGCTCATCCGTCATACTTGTGGACGAATGCTCCTTATGAAGATTAGTCTGCTCATATTTGCTTGTTAATCTTTCACTTAATAATACATATAAATATAAATTAATGTTAATTAATGTCACAGTACCCATATAAATATTAAATTATCTTGTACTTAATAATTTGAAAAGAGTAATTGTTGAGTTTCTTGTGAGTTCTTCTCAGTAGATAAAAACATGCCAAACCCAATAACAGAATCATAAAAAAAGACGATTTAAAAGCGCTTGTAAACAAGTATACTTATTTGAATTAATGAACTTAATTAAATAATCTTTTATTTATATTTTATTCTATTTTATATAATTATTTTATAAATTTATAAAATTACCAAGTACCAATTTTGAGGGTTGTCTATATGCAAAGTTAAACATATAGGAAACCTACATGTCATCCCAGTAATAGTTCCAATGTGATAATTAAGAATCTATATCCACGATAAAATTAAACATCACGAGCATCAACTAACTATTTTATAATATTAATAATATTTTTTTCAAATACCATCAGTTATTGTAAAAAAAATACAAATATTATATTATAAAATTTCATTAAAAAAGATCAATAAAATAAACAGTCCAATATAAAGGTAAAAAACTATATATAGTCTCATTAAAACAGCATGCAAATGTAACATACTTTTGGTAAATTATACCTTTTTTTATTCTACTATGGTGGCGAAAAAGCATACAGTCAGTCTGATGGTAAACAGGTTTACCCTAGCCTATGACCGTGTGATACCAAAGATGTCACACGCGCATTGCCAACCCTTAAAAAACCTTAATATGTCTTTTCGGTTCATAACCATAGGACAGTCGCTTTTACCGGATGTTTTCGCCACCAGGCAACTAAATGCTGGAATAACATATCCCCTCCGATGAGACTAGCTGCAACCAAATCAATTTTTAAAAAGTTATTAAAGCAGCATTTATTAAATAAGCAAAAACTTGGATTGGTCGCCTGATAGCGACTGCTTTTAACATAATAATTATTGTGGTGAATTTTTCATACTGTATGTTTTTTAATTAATGAAATATATTATTTATGCATCATTTGTGTAAGTATGTATCTATATAATACAATTTTACCTTTGGCTGTTAAGTTGGCCACACAAGTTACACTCTGGGTTTGTTGTACGCGTCCGTGTAGCCTAACTTCAGGCTGTAGCTGAAAATCAGTGCTTTGCTTTTAAGCAAAACTATCGCTGAGTTGTAGCCTATTTAGGTCACTGCGACACACTTGGTGAAAACATATTTCCATACTTTACTTTTGTTTTGTTTTATATTTAAAAAAATTTTAATAATCTGATAGTATAATCTCATTTGTTAATTTACGTGTGTCATAAATGGCTCAAATAAAGTGTTTATCTATCTATCTATTATCTATCTATCTGTTTTTAAAAACCCCATCTAAAAAAAGACTCGACAAGAAGATCATTGCACAAACTAAGTGTTCACGGAAGGGAGCTCCTCTAAAACCGCACTGTGTGTGATCATTCTGGTTCTAAGGCGTAAGGATGGATTCCCTGCCGAAGGTACGATGGTGAAAGGTGGCGTCCTTTATACGGGCAGTAAAAAAAAAGATACAGATAAAATCGAAAATATTAGCGATATGTAAAACTAAGAATGTAAATCTATCCTGCTATACAACATATTAAGACGATAATTTCAAGATTCCAAAAATCAAAAACAACAACAAATTTTAAGTCTCTCATATTAACCCAAACTAAAAGTTAAGATAAAAAAAATGCTGTATTATTTCTTTGGTAAAAATGTTTAGTTTCAGAACACTCCCTGCAAAGCATGCTAACTATTTCTATTTCACCTGTGTAAAACTATTTATATTTTTACAAAGTAATGTTTTAGTACCAACATACAATATATATATAATTACCACTTTCTAGTTCAAAGACAGGAGAAGAATAATAGAAGTTAGCTGAATTTATATCTTACAATGTTCAAAGTGAAATATGGTTCCTTGTAGTTATAATTTATCTGTTAGTTCAAGAACAACAGCGAGGGAGATATAAGATTAAATTTCATATTGAAGTGAATTTGTTTATTTGTTACCTCTCAGCACTTTAATGGCTTAGTAAGTTGTCATAAAATTTTGTATACACGGGATATTTCAAACGGAGAAAATTACTTTTTGTCTCGGTCAATCAAAGATATTGACGAAGTCGCGGCTGACCTAGTATGTATGAAGACGTTATGGCCTGCAACCCTGGGAAGCGTTGAGAAAAGACTTTACCTATCAGTGATGGTAATTAATAATATTTTAAGATTTCTAAATACAAGGCTATGCAATAAAATATTTAGGATACTTCTTACGTACAAGATCAATCAATATATTAATAATCCCATTTACTAATTAAGGATTACTGTTATATATAGGGAAAATAAATTAAACTTATAAAGTAATAAAAAATAGTCTGACTTGTCTTTTGTAACATTACTATTATATTTATAAATTTATGTACAAACAATATTGAGTTAAAAAATAATTAAATACTAGTAATACTGTCAATAGATAATGCTTCAAAAACTAATTCGGGTCAGACACGCGCCTGTGACCGTCATTTCTAGTTACCCTGACATTAAAACAACTGTATTATTGCCAATAACTATATAAGCTGAGAGAAATCGATAACAGATATCATTTGGCAATTATTGCTTAACAGAAACAGGAGAGCAGGAGAAGATGAGAACTTTTCTTGTAGTGTGCTTGTTAGCGGTAGTGGGGGCGGCCTACGCAAGGGATACTCGGTACAAACGGAATGCTGATCTCGAAACGGCGGCTTCCCATCACTGGGAAAAAGGTGGCGGTGGTGAACATCATGGACATCATCAAGACGAACATGGTGGATTCGGAGAAAAGGGCTACAAAGGACACCACGAACACGATCATGGCAAGAAAGGACACTCTCATCACGAAGGGCATAAGGGCTACTACGATGAACATGGCGGCCACAAGAAAGGGCATCACCATGATGAAGGATACTATGATGAACATAATCATGGCGAGAAAGGAGAGAAAGGTCATGGGTTTGAAGAAAAGGGTCATTTTCATAAGGGACACTCAACCAAGGGTCATCATGGTATTCACAAAATAGACGAATTCAAGAAGGACAAACATTTCCACGACAAGCACGGAGAATCCGGTTTCGAAGAAGGTTACGGTGGGCACCATCACGAAGGTGGATACAAGAAAGGCGGCCATTTCCACAAGGGACACAAACATGATGGTTTCCATGAACACGAGCATGGCGAAAAGGGTCATCACGAGGAGGGAGGTCATCACCACGATCACAAAGGTCACCATGATGAAGGAGGCCACCACGAACACTGGGGTCACGATGAAGGTCACGGCAGTAAAGGAGGTCACGAAGAACACAAAGGTTGGGATTGGAAAAAAGGACATAAATGAAAAAAATAATACAAATAAAGTTAGTTAAATATTTTAAAAGATATCTGAGCTTTGTTATTGTTGATATTTTGTGATACGGGAATAAAATGTGTTTTTGCTTAATTAGTGTTTAGTTTATGTATTATTACGAGTTTTGTATTAAAAGCTTGGTAAGATTACATTACAAAAGAACAAAACAAAAAACATACCTAAATAACTTCTCCATACCAAAATATTTCATTATCTCCCAATCAATACATTGTAGATAGATAAACAAAATAGTAAGAATAAATATTAACATCTTAACACAAATACATTGGGAGAAAGGAATTGTTAATAATGAGGCCTAACAGCCCTATTGCTAGCAAGTAATGACCTTAGCAGGTCGACCTCTACGCGGTTTCCCCTGGAAACCAACGTGGTTAATTCTAGAGTAATTCGTTACGATGAGCCGACTGACCTGCTTTTATCCTCATCTATCATCCATCACTGGTACCCCGCCTGCGTATAGCAATAGCGCAGACTGTTTTGTAAATGCATATTGAAATTTAAAATAATAAAACGTGTCTGTATTGTTTTACATTATTCATAAAAAAACGTCAGTTTTAATCCACAAAAAATTGGTTTAACATGTAAGAGCTAAAAACATTAATGACGTAATGGCATACGCCGCCACAAAAAATATAAGCGATAAATAACTTGCTTCTTCTGGAGGTCACTTAAAAACTAAATTAGCCGTATTTTTCTCCTTATGCTTGCTCTCCTCGCCTCGTACCTCGTATGATATCTATTACAAATTCTAATTAATGGCAAACCACAACAAACACCTTTGATAACAATAACTTTACACTTTTTCTTTCACTCAGTTCTGTAACTTTTTTTTATATGTTTCAATTAGAAACTCTAAATTGCAATTTAAAATAAGATCTTAAAGCTCTTCTGAGCCTATATATGTATAAAAATTAACACGTACATGAAATTTCGACATCTATTTAAATACCTGTTCGTGAAAACAAAATTATATGCGGTACAACAAAAATATGCAGATCCTTCCACTGTATTATATAATAAATTTGAAAGTTTATATGTTTGGAATCTTAACATCTTTATAAACTTTCATACTAATAATAGATATAATCAATACTAGTGTAATTGAAAAACTATAATAGCCTGATAAATATTACATTAAAGACACTTTTTCATAGAAAAATATTTATGTAATAATTTATAAATAATATAATTTAAGATTGTGTTCAACAAAAAAAAACTTACTTCAATTTTAACAAAACCAGTTATTTTGATCTCAAAACTTCAATTCTATTTAATAGTCACTGAACCAATTTTGTAAAATTTCTACGAGAGCAATCTGTAAGTGCATCCTTTCAGATATAAGAGGTAACAAACATAAAAAAATACAACCAAATTGAGAGCCTCTTTCTTTCTGAAGTCGGATGAAAAACAGATGTTTCTGTTCTGTCACAGTAAAATCTTGGTATCAAGAAATATTTTAATATTAAATAATTTAAAATTATGTTCCAGAAAAAAACAACTTCAGTTATGACAAAACCAATTATTTTGATTAAAAAACTAAATCACCGAACCGATTTCGATAAAATCTCTATGAAACTGTAAGTATATCCTTTCAGATAAAAAAGTATTTTTTCTAATCGGTTTACAACTTATGGAGTTGTGAGATAAACAACATAAAAACAACAAACAAAAAAGAATATAACCGAATTGATATCCCCTTTCTTTTTGAGTCAGCTGAATAAAAAATAAAAAGAAAGATAAAAAATAAAAAATAAGTATTTTAAGTATTTTAAATTTTTAATGCCTAATTGTGGCAAAATATGTGGACTTAATATTATTTTAACACCTATATATTTACTGTATTTCTTGCAAATAAATATACATTCATTCATTCAAGGTACATCATGAAGATACATCGTATACAATTAGGGTTTTTAGTGAGTTTTAAACAAAAAATAAAAAAGTAATTTTGTTGTTGTGTGAAATAATTTTATTTAATTGACTAATGTTAAGTCTATGGACAGATTGTCAAAATTCAATTAAATAAAGTATTTTAAACATTGAAAATTCAACCCCGTGAGTGGTAAAATTTTATATAGTAGATCAGCATTTTTGCAGTTAAAGGTACGTAAAATATATTTAGACTGACAGGCGTGTGCGAAACAGCGGGAACTTGCTAGCAGTATAAGGTAATTGAATTAGCTGCCATACTCGTGACTTTATTCGAATGCACTTAAATTTACAACCCTTTCATTTTTAAATCGAAACAAGACGTCATATTTAAAAAAAAAAGTATTTTATTTTTTGTAAGTATTTTTGACTATCGCAAGCACATCTGATGGAAGATATACTCGTATATATTGATATGCAATACTAATAACAAGGTAACAAACATAAAAAAATATACCTGAATTGAGTACTTCCTCCTTTTTTTAAGTTACATGGTTATAAGTGATGATGTTGTTGGGGATTTAAAAAATATTTTTTTATTTGAATTTTATAGAAAAGCAAATATGTGTATATACATTAGTATATTTTTTTTTACATGCTCAAACATGTTATATAAAACCTTATAACGATGTTATGGATCTATCTTTTGATAAATTTAAAACTATTATTTAAAAAAGCTTATTGAACAAAACCTATTACACACTAAACGATTACTTGAATGACAAATGTGCATGGTGTTAGTCGATCATGCACGGGTATTTAACGACCATGTAATTATCGAATTTCTTGCATGCTTTTCCGAACAGATAATAACTTTCTGAACCTTGCATTCATAAAAAATTAACGATTTAAAAATGCTTGTAAACAACTGTATTTGAATAAAGATGATTTGAATTTCAATATATAATTTATACTGCAGACAGGATTTGTCAAACTATTTATTCGAGCTTAACTCCACCAGTTATTAATATATAAGTGACAACTCCCAAACAACTACAGTTGTACAACAGTATTTATGTTTAAAGGGTAAAGGGGTAGGGGGTAGGGTCAGATATGGCAGTGAAATTACTGGGTTATAGTACGTCAACATTTTTATAGTGCAAAGGTATGCATGATTGGAGATGTTGAAAACGACAGAAGGAATCACCCTGATAAACCGAATGAGGAATAACAACCTTCTTGGCAGTTTTAAGGTCCTTTCCATGAAAGACAAGTTTACCACAGGACGACTGAGCTGGTATAGCCATGTTATGAAATGATCAGAGAATCATATTAGGTACCAAAAAAGTTCTGAATCTTCATACCGATCCAAAAAGGTGAGGAAGACGGTACGGAACTGTCTCGCGAAAAAAAATGACAAGAAGAGTCGACCACAAATATAACAGACTAGGTGGAGAGAGAGAGAGAGGTATATATACTTATTTATAATTAGATGGGCAGTATGCTAAAAAATGGGTAGATCACCAACGCGATGGACTGACCTCATCAAAACGCCACACAGCAGTCTATTGTGGAATGCTCTCGCCCGGCGGTGAACAGAAGTAGATGGAGACATATTGCGAGGACCTCAATTGCGAAGGAAAGCCTCATCGATCCACTGTCATTGTAAAAACCACGACCACTCTAAGAGTGTACGACTGAAGAGAGATGCTAAAAATATATTATTCACTGAAGTTTTGCAAAGTTTGCTTTTTCTACCTTCCAACTTTTTAACTATTATTAATGTAAAAGAGTCTGATTTAAATCGGAATAGTAGTGCCTTTTAGAAAATATTGCAACACAAAATGTAGGTTACGATTTTATAACTTCCAGAGATATTTCAGTTTAGAACTTAATTCTAGAACTCTTTTAAAGCAGATATAAAGATAGCATAATTACGTAATATTTGTGTAAAAAATCTTTTAAATAATTAATATAACAATAATAATTATTAGTTACTTATTTTCAACTTACTTATTTAAAATATAAGCTGTATAACACAATTTAAGTGACCTATTATAAATTTATTACCTATTCTAAAGAATTTTCAAAGTTTAGAAATCAAAGTAGAACATTTTAATAATACATAAATGGAAAAAATAATAATAATAAATTCTAATTATACTAAACAAATTAACGTTAAAAATGCCGTAATTTATTACCGCCCTACGAAACTCTATGGCAGTACAATGAAAAAAGTCCAGTTCTGAACTCGCAACTTTTTCTGTAATTTTTTGTCATCTGTGTATATTTGGTTTCATGCGGGTTCCAGGTGATAGCATTATTTTCCAGCTTACTCCGTACGAAAGCATTATAAAGAATTTTAATTGCTTCTACATTATCTAAATGTTGTGCGTGTCGCAATACGAAGCTTAAGGCTCTAAATGCACTACTACACACTTGGATAATATGTTCTCGAAACAATAGGTCCACACTCATCAACACACCCTAATCGTAAACTGAGGTAACTCTCGATAAATATTTGGATTCAAGTCGATATTGGTAATGAATGGGGTCCTTTAATCGACCAAATGACAAAACTGAACATTTATCGATATCAAATAATATAAAAATTTCATCATCATCAAATAATATAAAAAAATATTATGTATCACCGTAATGTAATGTAAAGATAATATTAATTTTATTCAATATTGAATTTACAATAAGGTCCTACGCAATAATAAAGTTAACATGATATATGTTGATACGCCTACATTTTACCATTTCGGATATAAGATTGACAAAACAAATATATTAATAGACTAGCTGTTCTTCGCAATTTTTTTGCGTGAATCTATATATAATATATCCTATATTAAATTAGAGTGTAAACTACCCGTCTATCAAAACTCATTTAAATCCATTCTGTCACATAAACGTGTTTGAGTAACAAACATACAAATAATTAAGTATTATTAAATAATATTAAATAGTCAATTAAGTCGCAATTTTTTTATTATCAGCTTCTATAGCAATTCTTTATGACTTTACGTCTTGAAAAAAGGACCGCGATTCTCGTCCATGCTGAATTAAATAGTTAACAATCAAGTACGTATTGTTTTCTAAAATAAATCCAATGATCAATTAATTAACGACACACTGATCTATCGTACGCTAAGTTAAAATATTATAAATATTATAAATAAGTTAAAACTATTAACACCATATATGTATGTACATACAGATAATCAGGTCACAACGCCTGCATATTCAACTTTTTCTACACAGCTTTCATTTTATAATCTCGAGTAGATATTATAATGTATATGAACAATGGTTACACATCTTTGTTTTTTATTACTTGTTGGATTATAATGAAATGCATTTTTATTATTATTTCGTGGAACGCATAAAAGACTAAGTTATATAATGCTGTTTTATTAAAACTGTAACAGAAAATTATTCTTGTTGCGACAAAACAGAAATTATTTTCAGTTCAGTTATAAGATCTATGTAGTGAGATGTATTTCATGTAAGGGATGAGTGCGATATCATACTCGTAGCTCATATCGGATATCAAATTATTATTAACCTGGAAGTGGAAATCTCCGTACACTATCAACCTTGACACTATCCAACGCGAACTTACCTAACAGTCGCAGTGCTATTGGTATATAAAATCATTGCCATCGATGCAACTATCATTCAGCAACTGCAACAAGCGTGATTAACAATGAGGCTAATAATAGCGTTCGGGCTTCTTGCCCTCGCGGCAGTCGCCACCGCCCGGGATATTCGAGAGAAAAGGGATGCCGACCTGGCGCCTGCTGCCTCGCACCACGGCCACCATTGGGACAAAGGTGGCGGCCATGAACACCACGGACATCACCACGATGAACACGGTGGTCATGACCACAAAGGACACAAGGGTCACCATGAACATCACCATGGAAAACATGGACATCACCATCATGAAGGACACAAGGGACACCATGGCGAACACGGTGGACACAAGAAGCATCATCACCACGATGAGGGCTACCATCACCATCATCACCACGGTGAAAAGGGTGAACATGGGCATGGTCATGAAGAACACGGTCACTGGCATAAAGGCCATGACACGAAGGGTCACCATGGTGTTGAGAAACATGACGAATTCAAGAAAGACAAGCACTTCCACGACCATCATGGTGAAAAGGGACACCATGAACACCACGGTGGACATCACCACGAGGGCGGCTATAAAAAGGGAGGCCACTTCCACAAGGGACACAAACATGGTGGACATCATGAACATCATCATGGCAAGAAAGGCCATCATGAGGAAGGAGGTCACCATCATCACCACAAAGGCCACCATGGAGAGGGCGGCCACCATGAGCATTGGCACCATCATCATGATCATGGCAAGAAGGGAGGTCACGAAGATCACAAGCATTGGGGACACAAGAAGGGCCACTAAGCCGTGGGAATACCCACACTTGTTGTTAATTATTGTTGAATTGTTACAAACGGGTTTTGTTATTATGTTTTTACGATATAAAATAATTGTTAAATAATAACTTTTAGTTTTCATGATTTTAAATTATGTATCATCATCATTTCAGTCATTTGAAACTATGGATTCTACACTCAGTCATCTAGGTCCGCTTGTGAAACATAAAACCGAAAGTTCGTGATAAGATATATCTGAATTATCATCTCTTAAAACTGTTGCGTTGTGACTTTACATCTGTCTTAAATATTTCTGAATTATATAAAAATGTACTCATTAACTACGACTCACTAACTAATCATGACAGCTCTAAAAATCTAAAGACCAAACTAGAAATATTGCAAAAAGATATTTATTAAGAAAATAATTTCGTTTTGAGCAACTATCACAATGGTCAAATGAAACTATTTTTAGAAGCACAAAAACACATAAAATAATTATACTACTTATCTCATTTGATTTTAAATTTATCAAAGGAGTATTTGTATGGAATAATGCTTATTTTAATTCATAGTCCTAAATTTATTAAGCTTTCAACCTCAACACCTTAATTGTCACAAACAACAAAGATATTCGGAAACCGGAATAGGACAAAGCAAAACAACGCAGCCGAAAACTCGACTCAAATACAAACTAAATCGGAACTGGCTAACGCAACATTTACCAGTTTAACAAACCGTTTCCCAACATGGTTAAGAGCGTTGATAGTTTTCTAGGTTTTACTTTTCTGCTAATATTCAATAGATACCAACTCCTGTCGGCAACTTCGAGAGTGACCTCACGGATTAATCTTTAAATGTTTAATTTTATTGATTAATCTTAAATCCAATGACCAGAATAACCATACGATATTAAGCACATACAATATATGAGGCTTTATTATCTATCATCATGCTAAATCCCAATGGTAGGCAGCAAAAACAGTGCCTAAGGCCTCTATTCTTTCACACATCTCGTGCTTCATCTAATTTTATAGCTCTTTTCATGTATTGACGCAAATAAAATTTATTTAAAACCATATTTCCGTTTATAAGTAACTAAATCACTATTAATACTCACACAACACATTGCCGATGGTTAATAAAACTATTACTGATACAAAAAAATTGAATGTTTATTTAGACCGTCGTAATCTGATGGACAGTGGTTTCCTAATTACGACATAAGAAAAACTAAGGTGATTTTGAATTTGATCGCCATTACTAAAATTTGTGTCAAATATAACAATACATATTACTTGCATTCAGATAAGTATATTTATATCTTTTAAGTCGATAAATTCCTCTCCATTAGGGATAACAGTAACGAAGATATTTATTTTATTAGTATGCAAAATATTACTCTCACAATCTTTCACAATTTTTTAAATAATCGACATAATTGAATCGAATATAATCAATTTGTAATATTTGGTACTAAACAAACATTTATTTATCATAACATTTTTTCAGCAATAAATGTACTTAAGTCATTTTAACACTAATTAACATCAAAAATATAATATTAAACAACTATTTCTATACATTATAAAACCAAATTTCGTTACCTTTATCTAAGGATGAAAAAAACATGTGTTATCCCATATTATTTTTGAGCTATATATTTGCAGTCGTTTCAATATTCACTCTATTTTGGTCATATCATCTTTCACACACTCTATGAAAGCATATTTTATTGAATAAAATTACAAAATGTGATTAGAACTAGTCACCCCTAATTTTATAATCATTCAATACATTTCTGTCAAAATGCAAACAGCCCTATTGATATTGTATTGATTCGTACGTATATATTATTATTATATGCAATATATTAATGTAATAACCTTCATGTACTGCACTTTTTAAACCAATTATATTATCATAAGGTTATTACTCCCCCGGGTTAAATACATAATTTACGCCACTACGGTATCCCGGTACATATACTGGATATAACTGGATAACATCCTTAACTCGTTTACTGAGCTCATAATGAAAATTAATTATTACGCCGAAAGTTATTTGCAAGTCACATGTTACTTAATATCTCGAAAAAATCGGACATCACAGTGAATTTTGTTTATTTAATTTAAATAGTTTAACTTATTTTCTGTACTTAATAATACTTTGTGATGTCTAGTATATAACAGCTATCACACTTTTCCTTTAAAATTAGATGTTATCTTTAGTGCCACTCTTAACTTTTACATTCGTACATAGGATGTTTCGGTATATCCTATTAATACAAGTATTTTTTTTTGTGATGGGTGAAAATAATATGATAACTCCACCTGCGCTAACGGGATACGCTGGCGGAGCTCCAGTAAAGGGTGGCAGATGATAATTATAACAGGCCAGTAAGCCCATCATGATGAATTCATCAGGAATTAACCATGATAGTTTCCAGGGAGAACCGCGAGGAGGTCGACCTGGTTGGGTATATTGCTAGCAATGGGATTCTAATTCTCCATTACTAACAATCCCTTTCCTCCCTAATACGAGTATTAATATATGGAATATGAAATTTATAAAAGTATGTAAAGATATTTGATTGTTTGTATCATTGTATGTTTATTACTCAATCACGAAAGTAATGTAAAAAAAAAAAACTTATAATCGAAATATACATTACAAATTACAAAAAAATACTCCTAGAGATAAAATTTTATTTAAAATTTAATGTTTATTATTTAATCACCCATAAATCAATCAAAAAATTATATTTAAATCTAATATCATACATACGAGTATATTACTTATATGTTCAGATTTAAACTATTTAAAAACTCACAGATGCTATAACTTATACTTTAAGATTGTGTTCTAAAAAAACTGACTTCAATTGTGGCTAAACTAGTTATTGATTTAAAAAACTTAACTACTGAACTGATTTTGATAAAATTTCTATAGATCTAATCTGAAAATATATCCTTTCAGATAAAAAAAGTATTTGCAAATCATTTTGTTACTAACGGAGTTATGACATAACAAAAATAAAAAAAACAACCGAATGAAGAACCTCCTCCTTTTTTTAAATCGTATAAAAAATAAATACAGTGTATTTATAGTGTACTTGTATGTTCCTGTGATTATTTATTTTATACTATGAATGTTTTCTTCCTTATTATTTTTATGAACAGCGGCCTACACTAACCTAATGCTTAACTGGTGGAGAATGCCTTATGGCATTAAGCTCGCCATTTGTTTTATTGTGCTATAAAAAATAAATAAATAAATACACATATTTTGTCTTTATTGGATATTATTGTCATCTACAGTTTTACTGTAAATGTATAGTAAAGCTGTAGAGGTAAACGTAATGCAAGAGGTTAATAAAACTAAACTAAAGGCTAAAAACACTCTCAGCACCATAAATTAATTAAAATAAAGTTAATCTTATAGACCTTTATGATGACTTAATAAAAATATAATTTAAAGGACTAGTGGAACAAATCACAAAAAAAAAGCTCACATCAAACAGTTTTTTCATAATTTATCTAATGTACCTTCAATTATAAAGTACATAGCTATATAGCATCTCTAATGTAAAAGAAAAAAATATATAAAAAGATGTATGTCAGAATAAGATACAGTCAAGTACGTTTTTTTTATAATAATAATAATAATAATAATCATTTATTTACAAAATATTGGTGATTCCCAGTAGCAGATCTTAAGTTATTGTTAAGTAGTTGTTCAGCAATATTTACCACGTTATTCATCTATGCAATATAAGCTCAAAAATCGATTTGACGGTCAAATGAACAAACTACTAGTTCTAATTATTTTTACGTTTTGAAGTGGATCTGTTAGATTGAAATAAACTTAGTTGAAATAGTTAAATGTTTCTTCTCTTTTTGTGTAACATCTACATATAAATCGTATATATAAATATTTGATAGTTAAACGGTGCCCCGTGTAGGTGCGAACTGAAAATCAATGCTAAACGAACATCAGTCCAGCAAAAGCTGAGTTTGTACCTATTGCCAGACATACAGATACTGCTCAATGTATTTATTTATTTATTAATATATTATTTATTGATGAATTATAATTTCTATACCATATTTGCAAATAATGGCAATAATATTATTATTATTATTATTATTTTGTATCTGAATATGATATAAATTAGGGAAAGAAAAATACAAAATTACAGAATTTTCACTTTAAATATTTATCCCTTTAAATGTAATATAAATATTTTGTACAAGAATTAATAAAAAAAAAAACTAACTAATTTAACAAAAATAAAGTTTCGAATATCCATGCATTAAAATTATCTGTAACCAATATGGGATTTTTACTATTAAATTTCATATAAATTTCAGAACTCTTACATGCACACATTTACATTATACACACACTAGAGTAACTAATTTCTTGTCCTGTTTTTAAATTCAATTAAAAACAGGTTAGGTAACAACAATTAAAATGGTGGAAATTTCCATCATAACATCGAATGACCAAAAATTATATAAAAAGATAAGTTCACTATAAACTAATCGTGTCTGGATACCACTTTAATGTCCATTACAGAAAAAAAACATAGCTGTTAATTTTTTTTTAACCACTTTTCCTTTAATTTTGAACATGAATTACATCACCTTGATTTATTTTACCAATAAAAAAAATCATGCAAAGAAAGGTTAAGCGTGATTGATTAATAAATATCCATTTAAAGTATTAATAACATTATCTTTCAAAATGGGTTCATTCAGTTTGAACACTAGAAATGTAAAAAGCGCTCAATCATTGTTTTACCACCGGTCGTTTGACCTTGGCAATAAAGTAAGTGTAAACACCAGAGCCCGCTTGCAATAGTTGCTCAATAGAAATTTTAAGAAAATCAAACAGTGTCTATAAAAGGTGGCTGTCGATAATAATAACAACTATTGTATATCACAGTGCAACAGAAACAGTACGACGATGAAGGCGGCCCTAGTGCTGAGCTGCGTGGTGCTACTTCTAGCGGTAGCCCACGCACGGGACCTCAGGGAGAAACGCGATGCCGACCTCGAGCCCGCCGCGTCACATCATCATGAAAAAGGTGGTGGTAAGGAACACCACGCCCATCACCATCACGAACACGGCGGCAAGGGCCATAAAGGATACAAGGGGCACCACCATCATGAACATGGAAAAAAAGGCCACCACCATCACGAAGGACACAAGGGACACCATGACGAACACGGCGGACACAAGAAACACCACCATCACGACGAGGGCCATCACCACGAACATCACCATGGCGAAAAGGGTGAAAAGGGACATGGATATGAAGAAAAAGGCCATTATCATAAAGGACATTCCACAAAAGGACATCACGGCGTTCATAAAGTAGACGAGTTTAAAAAGGACAAACACTTCCATGACAAACACGGTGAATCCGGTTACGAAGAAGGCCACGGTGGTCATCACCACGAACATGGGCACAAGAAAGGTGGCCACTTCCATAAAGGACACAAACATGGTGGCCACCATGAACACCACCACGGAAAGAAAGGTCATCATGAAAAAGGAGGACACCACCACGAGCACAAAGGCCACCACGATGAGGGCAGCCACCATGAACACCACCACCACCACCATGATCATGGGAAAAAAGGAGGCCACGAGGATCATAAACACTGGGGATGGAAGAAAGGACATTAGTTTAAAATAATTAATTATACATTATATTTTTATACTAAAAAAATGACGTAGAATTAAATATAAATTATCAAATTTTATACAGGTTTTATTTTTATTTTATTTTTATTTAACCTATGAGTTTCTAGCGTTTTTCTTGATTCCTATATAAATTTTATTCTAAGTTGCAAATTTATTAAAAGAAAAAAATATGAATATGTACGCTGAGCCTTAAAAATACATGTTTTAGTCTTTTAGGCAGAAACTTACGTAGACAATATTTTTATTTCATTTACTGCCAAAATAAATACAATTTTCTAAAGAAAGATTAAGTTATTTCATCTCTGTTTATTTTGTATATTTAATAATATTAAAGCAGAAACCTTAAAATTTAAATATCAAAGGAATAAAAATACGATGTCGCGAGTGACATTCATAGAACTTTGGGTGCCCCTTACAGCCTCATAACTTTCGGTATATTTAATAAGCACGTGAAGTTTTCTAAATAAATGAGTAGCTGTAACTCGCTAACAGTTTTATTGCTAGCTGCGCCATAAACTTACTATATAATCCTTAACTAAATGCAACAGTAAGTGTAGTGAATGTGAGTTTGTTCGTTTGTCTAAACCTCTGAATCTTTTTTGACAAATTTTGATATAGTAATAGATGGGGGACCTGGAGGTTATAGGCTACCTTTTCTCCCGATCAGAACACATATCGGTCACACGGACGAAAACACGGATAAAAGCTCGTAAAGTATAAATTAGATTTGAAATAAGTAAAACATAAATTGAATAATATAGGTATTTATTAACCACTGATCATTACAATTTTTAATTAATAAATTATCAACTAAAACGCTCGTCTTTTGTTGCCATCATGGTAAAAGCCCACATTTTACTGAGCATAGCATATTAAAATTTTAAAATTTAAATTTTTATTTTTATCGATGTTTTTCATCACCGGGGAGTTAGTCAGAAATTTAAATTCACTCCTCCTCACCACAGTATTAAGGGCCATTGATGCGCCTTCGCCTTTTCTATTACTCATCTTTTATTATCATTATATACAAAACTTGAGTTTTAATAATCCACCCTTTCCTTTCCCGCGGGTGTCGTAAGAGGCGATTAAAAGGACTTAACAATCGAGGAATGTCCCTCTTAAAACATCACCAAAAACTAACTGCGGTTGTCAGTCTGCCTATCAAGCGTGGCAGCTACTGGCTAAATACTCCAATAAGGGAAGGCATATGTTCAACAATGGACATTTAACGGCTGAAATGATGATGAAAATTATGTGGAAATCTTAATATCCTATAGTAAACGTGGGAATATTTCTTACTTAATTACGTCGGAATAGCTAGACGGATTTGGATAAAATTTACCATATGCTCTAGCATATGGCTAATATTATTGTTGTGTCTACCATGCATTAATTGCATAAGGATTTTTTTCTTAATTTACATAAAAGTGCAGAAATCAAATAAATTTAAAATATATAAATAGATGTATTTGTATTAGACACTTAAAACATAGAGGCACACGGAAAATCAATTTTCATTTGAAAGTTACACGAGTCCTCTCTTAAGAATCCCTTTGATCCTATTTAATCCCCTTAATCATAGAACATTGTAATAAAGCATTCGTAATGCATCCAATTTGTGCTAATCAAATAAGTCGAGTACAGGCGTATTGCTTCCTACAGTTTTATCACAGGCGATTATTATAAAAGCTTTAATCGTTCATCAACATATTTTACGTTGTTAGTTACGTATATTTATGTAATTAAATTTATACATCATTTTATAGAAACTCAACATATTATATTCAGAAAATGAATAACATATTACATTAGCCGTTAATTGTCTACTTCTAAATATAGGTCTCACCAATAAGGGGTTTTTACCCGTAGCTGCCAAGGTTGGCAAGCGAATTGGCAACCGTAGTTAAGCTTTGGTGGTGTTTTAAGAAGGGCGCTACTGCTCATCCATCAGCCCTTAAGTTCCCTTAGTTGCCTCTTACAATACATACGTGAAAAGTGGGAATAACATATTATGGGCAAGTATTAATTTGAACTTAGTGGAAAAATTACCTATACAAGCTAAAAAAAAATATGCGTTTGCATATAAACAAAAAATATGTATAAAATATATCCAATTGTCTTTATTTAATACTTTTTTAGAAAACTTTTTAGTTATCTTGCTAAATGAGCAAAGACTGCAGTATCTGCAAATATTATCACTCTGAATATAATGCCAACACTGACTTACAGGCGTTTTTATAATAATTCCATAAGAATAGAAAATTCTTTTATATAAAAATGAAGTATTTAAAAAAGAAACAAAACAGCATTTTGTATTAAAGAAATATTTAAACCTCTTCAATATTATGTGTATTGAAATACATTTTTTCTATTAAATATACAAAATAATAAATACATGAATGAATTATACCAATTAATTAACTAACATGTTACGAGTCTAATGAATAATTTTTTCTTCCATACCTATTAAAAAATAATAAAAACTTTAAACTATTGAATTTCATCCTTATTAATAAAGTAATCTCGCTATTTTTTGCAATACCTACCTAGAATGGCAAGCAAGCTATAGGTACCACCTGATGGAAAATAGTAAGCGTCGCCTATAAACATGAACAGCTCAATGATCATCACAGAATACACTGAGACATTCATAATACCTCTCAAGCACTGCCATTCCTGAGGACTATGGTATTTTGTCTTTTTACCCTGTAATTTTACCGCCATATCCCACACCCTTTTAACCGAAACAGCAATGTAAGCAAAACTGCTTCAATGCAGAAACAAGGGTGTTTTATTAATTTATCGTTTCTTTGAAAATATACCCAAACTATTAATTAATTTAATACATTAATTTAGACATTTTATTATAGGCAATTAATATTTATTATAGGCATGTAATCACCTATAGATATGAACAGTACCATAAAAATAACAAAATATACTGCGTCGCCAATAATACCCATCATTGGCGATCATGCGGTGCCATTCATGAGTATTAGGGTATTCAGGACCTCTATACAATTATTCATTCTGCTAATGTCCAATTAATGTACAAATATACAAATCAAAAACTTACGAATTGATTGAATGTTTTGTATTGTTACTAATATTTAGAGAGTATTTCTGCATTAAGTAAAACTTGGTTATTTTTTTATTAAGTTCTATTAAAACAGGCTATTTTTATTATGTTTTGGACTAAAGGCTTAAAACAGATGTAAATGCAATTAATGACACAAGAGGCGTAAAACTTTATCTTGGGTAGCGTATCATGAGTGATATAATTTCTGTCTGTGATGCACTTACACCAGTTGGTGTCTTTAAGCAATAATTAATATTTATATAGTATTATATTATCTACTATCGTTACTAGTAATCACTCTCCTGCCCTTAAACAACCGTTAGGTGTCACCATTTTCAGGAAGATCGTTTAAAAATAATTTATCCGTAAATACGTCTTGTAACATATTTATATTCTATATTTGTTTTATCGAAACCATTCATATTAATTAATGAGCTTGTATTCAAGTATTTGTTTTGAAAACCTAAAAAAAATGTATTCTATTAATTTATACTTTAAACATTATAACTATAAAAATTTGTAGCTTCTATATATAATAGTAAAAAATTTATAACGTATTTTAAAATACATATTAAAATCAATGTGCGAAAAATGATGGCATCAATCATTTGTCCGATCCGTTGTTGTCAGAACTGGAAATGTATCAACATTTCCTATGTTACTTCCACGACAGATGACTATTTAGGCAATCCATCAACATCCATTATCATAGTTTATACTTACATACGGACTCAGCCAATAAAATGTATTCGTATTCATTTTGCTGTATAGTTCATCTCGAAATTTTATCCATCTACTATTAAAGTGTCGTATAAACTCGATGGAAACGAAAAAGTGCATGCGCTATTTTCATATAAATAATAATTGAGCTTATTTTATCTATATTAGCTGACCCTAAATCAAAAAAATTTTAACATCTCTACAAATTATTAATGCCCATTAATTCATCTCTTTTTGTAAATAGACAAAGTAAATAAAATCTTATCAGAAAAATTAGTTCAAGGTACAATAACACTGGCATCAGAAGGTAAAAACCCTTAAAAATTTAAAAGGAACCTATGTACCGATCTGTTGTTAAACTAGTAACATAATAGAGTTTAATTTTATGATAGTATCTACATGCAAACACTTCGCCAATAACAAGTCATTTTTTTCATTCATATGTATTTAAATCAGTTTATCATTATGTATAGTTAATAATACATAAGTATATCGAAAAAAAGTATATTTTTTAAGTTGTAAAATAAAACGACAGAAAATACTTATTAATTTATCTTTCATCTTGATACGCCATCTGGAAGCGCTCATAGGTTTTTCTACTTCTAAAATGTACGCGTACGAAGTATCGGGCAAAAAGTCAATTTAAAATATTAGTAAATATATAGTCATTTCGTAAATAATGACCATCGTAGGTAAGTAGCTAAAATGTTTAAAACAGTCCCTGTACATAGTGCTGAATTATTGTGGTTGAATCTGATTTAGAGACGAAACTGTTAGACATATTTCACAAGTGTAATCCATTAATAGTGCTTTTACACTAATTAGCGAGCAAGTATGGGGATTTAGTGATGTCACACTTGGCAGTAGATTTATGGGCGCCAGCGCTGTCAACTCCTAATCTAGACTTAACGTATTATTACAGCTTAGTAGCAATAAAACCAATAAGCAAAATAAAAATCCAATGCTATTGTTTAGTATTTTTATAAATATATTTGTTTGTTAGTTGAATATTTTCGTTATTGAAAAATATTATTTAAATATTTGTTAGCGAAATGGCTTGAAGGTACATACTTTCTAAACCATACTAAAAGTATCTACCTTCAAGCCATTTCGCTACCCTACTCACGATCTTTATAAGTCATGCCATGTTCTTACAGTGCGCCAGTTATTTATCCTATCTACATTATTAAAACAACATTCACTTTTGACTTACCATCCTGACCTAACTGCCCGATGCCGCCGTTTAACACTAGTACAAGATAAACATAATACGACATTTGTTCAGAGGTACTACGATTTTATTGAGTCTTACCTTTATAAAACGATTAACTCAAAAATATCAATATTCGCCCTCAATAAATATGTGTAAAAAAAACTGTTACAGAGTGGCTTCAGCAGCTTAAAATTGAGAAATTAATACATCCCACCTCCTAAAATCTTTATTCTTTAATTGTTAATCTTTTTTTTTTTCTTAGTGTACTTGATTGCCTTGCCTTTGCTTACTAATGTATATCCAGGTGTGACTGATTGTTATTTAAATATTTAAATATCATATAACTATGTGTGTATACGTGTGTTCATGTGTACGTATTGTATTTGTCTTACTACGCCTAACAACTTTTGAGTTCTCCATTGTATGTATTACATAAACTGTTTCATGCCAGAGAAGGGTCCTGGTGACTTGTGATACGGGTTCTTCAGATACCCAGTTCAGGCACCAATTCTCTACAACTTTTATGTATCTATGACAGTATTTTGAATGTTTTAAATAAGTTGTGAGATAAATATATAAACATTATTATTATTATTATTTGTAGTTAACTGTATGCAGAAGCTTCAAGTTGCTTAGCGAGGTATAGAGAGGGCTATGCTCAGAGTTTCTTTGCTTGATAGAATCCGAAGTGAGGACATCCGTAGAAAATATAAGGATGAGGTCCAAAGTAAGCAATATAGCCCGAAGGATAAACAAGCTGAAGCGGTAATGGTCACATAAGTCGAAGAACGGATAACTAATGGGGAAGAAAGATTCTTGAGTGGCGACCCCGTACAGGTCAACGCAGTGTAACACGACCCGCTACTAGATGGAGCAACGACCTCATATGCATTCCTAGAAGTCAATGCAGGTGGCTGGGGCTGTTTCTCTGATAGTCTATGAGGAAGGCTTATATACAGCAGTAGACAGTTAACGGCCTAATATGATAATGATTTACATACTATTTACGAATACAATCATTTATACAATTATTATAGTCATTAAGCGTAATAATATTCGCAAATTAAATAAGTGAAAACCAAACATAATAAATCAAGTTGAGACAGCCCGTGGAATTAGCAAATAATTAGATAAACCACAATTGTTTCTCTCTCCAAATTGGGTTAAAATATTATCCCCATAGCGATCTTCGTGCCTATTTAGAGTATCAAATATAACAAGTACATACAACTTACTTAGAGTACTTACTCAGTTGGTCGTATAATGCTATATTATTTTAATGTTAAATTAATATTGTTACTAGTGTAAATAATTTGAATTAGAACTTAAAGAAAAAAGATCTTCTCCTATACTCGTATAATATGTTTATCTTATAATAAAATCGCAACGAAATCAAAAAAATCGCAACGAATAAAAAATATACATAAAATCTCATGGACATGCAAACTGCAACATTGTTAAGTGACCAATCTAGATGCAACAGACAGAAAACGTATAAGAATATAAACAGCCATAAAGTAAAATTCTCTTCTGATGGCTATGTTTCCAGAATTTTTAAACACGGGGTCTTTCAAGGCTAGAGTGTATAGACATTATTATAATTTGTGTACGTTACCTCAGAGCTCATCATCTCTTATGACCGGGTGATGTGATTAGGTGAGGATCTACCTCACCTAATCACATCACATTGTAGTCAAATGCGCTTAAATTTAATATAAAAAATTCTCACATGTCAACTTAAGTTAGTTAATAACAAAAATTAAGTTTTATATCGAAATATATTTGTGTTTATATCTGTGTATGTCTATGTGTGTGTTTCTAAAGCGAGTATCTCAAATATGCAAAACTTTATATAATGTAACCTATTTCCAGGTTACTTTATGTACGAAACCTACAGCGTGTGAGTTCAGGTACAATTACTATGATCATTAAAGCCTCAGAAAATGTGTTGATAGCCTACAAACATCAATAGACAATAGTTACCGCTTTCCTTTATGCAAATTGACCATCAGCTTATTTTTTTCATTCCTGCACGAGACCGTAAATATAAAGATTAATTTATTTTTGAATCCATAATGAATTCAAAAATAAATTAATCTTAATGATTCTAATGAGATGAGATGATTCTAATGAGAGTCATTCACGGTATTATCTAAATTATTAGTTATTTTATAAATGTATATTATTAACTAAATGATTTAATAATCTGTACTTGTGTACCTAATGCTGTAAGTCGCCTGCTCACAAAGTTTTACTCAACATACTTTAACTCGATACAGCAAACAACCGTTTTAGGTAAATAAAGTCGTTGAACTACAAAATAATGTGCGTCTATATTTTTGTTATTTGGATATGTAATATATGCATAATTCGTTATTAGTTGTTAATTTATATTAAATTAAGTTTGCTGAAATATTAGACGTTGTCTTCACATAAAGTAAAGAGAGCGTATATAGAACTCCCGCCCAAAACCACAGAATCCTGAGTGGTGGTTATCAACGTTAATTATTTTAAAAGCATGCCCACGGAGATGGGCTATAACTATAGTTAGTTGTGGCTTTCTCTTGGGAGAGCCATAATATTGGGTTAGGTACCTGTAATTGTGACGCAAAATGTACAGGTAGATACAATATGTTTATGTGTATTATAATATAATGAATCAATAAAAATGTACGTCTATAAAACGCTTATATTTTCTAATATTATAATTTACTTAGATAATACAATAATTTATGCTTTTACATTATACATAGATAACTGCGAAAATAGGAACATTTTCCGGATCACAGCATTATATATTGTCCAATACAAGGATCCTAAGAAGTTCGCAGTTCCAGGCGTAATTGACAATTGACTGCGTAATAACCACAACTTGCGCAAGATAAAAAATATATCGAGTTGGTCGTTCTTAGCTCTGCCTTCAGTAAAATAACATTCTCTAATGTCGATTGTGTCAAATGAGTAATCAATGTCCTTTCTTGTAACCCCATTTCTTGTGATGATCGTGGCCACCCTTTTTAGCATGATCATGGTGGTGATGATAATGTTCATCATGACCAGCAGCTTCTTTGTGTCCTTTGTGCTCGTGATGGTGACCGCCTTTTTCATGATGCCCTTTTTCGCCGTGTTCGTGTTCGTGATGACCACCATGATGATGGCCTTTCTTGAAATGTCCACCTTTCTTGTGACCATGTTCCTCATGAAAGCCTCCGTGCTTCTCTTCGTGACCGGAATCGCCTTCTTCATCAAAGAAATGTTTGTCCTTTTTGAATTCATCAAGCTTGTGTACTTCGTGGTGGCCTTTAGTAGAATGGCCTTTATTGTAATGTCCTTTTTCCTCGTATTTATGTCCTTTTTCGCCTTTTTCGCCTTTGTGATGCTCGTCATAGTGACCATCTTCATGATGATGTTCCTTTTTATGACCACCATGGTCATCGTATTCTCCTTTATGGTGTTCCTTATCATGATGACCCTTCTTGCCTTCCTCATGATGATGATGGCCTTTATAACCTTTATGTCCATGTTCACCGTGTTCGTGATGGTGGTGTGCATGATGTTCTTTGCCTCCTCCCTTTTTATACTCATGGTTATGATGCTCCTCCTTCTTGTGGCCAGTACCTGCGGGTTCTTGATCTGCTATTGCCTTCTCCGTAGATTTTCCATATTTGGCAGCAGGAAGACGGCGCGCGTGTACGACCGTCAATAACGTTAAAAATCCTATCACTAAAACCACCCTCATGCTCCGATTGGCGGTCCTGATGCTGTGCCGGTTCGATGTACGTTTCTTCTAAAATTGCCTGTCTCATCGATGGCGCAGCAGTTTTATATAAAGAGTTGTGTAAGCATTAACAACTGACGCGTCGCAGCAAGTGCCGCGAGACGGACTCAGACTCACCGGCAGTACAAACCTGTGTTGATGCAAGAAAATCACATTTAACTCGTAACCAAATAAAACTCATACTTTAGTCATACAATTAATAAACAGAAATACTTATATTTTTATAAATAGTTTTTAATACCAATTGAAACATTACAAACTTTCCTCTATAATAATACTTGAATCTAGGAGAATTAGAATGGTGCGAACTCAATTGAAATATTTAGAATGTGAGGACAGAACAAAAATAACTCTGCCTAGGATGAGTTATAAATACTTATTAGAAGTCTCGCTTGTTTAATTTCATTCCTGCTTATCTTATGTACCCATGTGATTAATTTCCTATCGTTATTTAATAGTAAAGTTTCAATTTCTTAGAAAAGTAAATAGTTTCCTTTCCCCGGCCAGTTAGTTACCTACAAATATCCAATTACAGTAGACGTAGATTAATATGATATTAATAACAGATTGAGTATTATTACTGCTGTAGATAGGCATTTACTAATATTTTATTAGAAAATTATATTAATTTTATTGACTAAAAGTGCTTTTCAATTAGCGTGATTTTTTATTCTCCAATAATTATTGTTAAATTTAATATTTGTGTATACTATAAAATTTTAAGGTTATCTTCTAATTTTAGGATCCATGGGAAAACTATATTCTATGACGTCGTCATTAGCGCGGACTTTTTAAGAGAACTTACAATCTGACAATTTTGCAAATTAAAATGAGATGCCCTACAAATCACTACTAGAAGCCGAAACAAATTAATTCAAAAATCTTTCAAAAGATGAATCAATTAAAAATTTTAAATCTTAATAAAGTTTTATAGTACGAAGGATAGCCTCTTCAGTTTTTTGGTATGCTTTTAACATCGAATTTGTCAGATTTTTAAAAGTTTGCAACAGGCTCATATTTGATCTACCGTGTACAGCATTAATTAGCAATTATTTTTTATTTTATTTTTTTACCACGAAGGTGGTAAATAAGCATGTATGCTGTCTGGTGGTAAACAGTCACTGTAACCTGTGGACGCTTGCAATACTAAAGGCGTCATGTGCGCGTTGCCCACCCAGAAGAAACCTTAACATATATTCTTTGTGAAGAAAGAAAAAGAAGTTTTTTAACAAGATAATATGAAGCCGTATATTCGCCACCAGCCGAGCCTTTTTTTATTAAATGAGGTCGTTAAAGCGTAAAAGTAATAAACTAATTTAAGAAACATTAAAATTCAATTTATATTAAATCACATTGCAGTGTGTTCAATTAGACAACTGCAGTAGAACACTTTTTCCATGCAAAAGCCACTTCTTATTACATTGAAATACTGAACAAATTGATTCTGTGCTATTTTGGGCATACACATTTAGTTTTTAATACAATAAATGACATTATTAGAATGTAGTAATGTGCATACATAAAAATATTATAAATAACAAAATTATCAAGCAATTTCTATCGCTGCCATTTTAAGAATAAAATAAAATAAAGCTATCCACCAATTTCTATTGCTTTTCTAATTGGTAATTGCTGGTGTAATTGCTAGTCTAATTGGTAATTTCAATGACGTAACTGAAAAAGCTCTTTTCGTGCTTCCACATTTCAATCGATCGAGCAATCATTCCGTTATATTATTAACAATGCAAGTAATTAAGTAACGACATCATAGCAAGTAGTATTGTTTCAGATATTTGAACAGAAATCGAACACGCCGCTAGCAAAGCTGCTCGCCTCTATTTTCCAATATAGTTTTGACACAATTAGTGAAGTGAATATAGTCTAGCAGTGCAAAAAATTTCGTTCTCGTCTCCCCCCCCCCCCCCCCATACCCGCCTCACCTTTAGTAAAGTAGTATTAAACGTCCAAAATACGATTACAGTTGTAAATGAACATGGAGATCTTCTTACAATAACAAATTTTACAAAATATATTTAATTCAACTTTATTAGAAAAATCTTAACAAAATGATTGTATTAAATAAAAACTATAGTTGAAAGTTAGTTTTCAAATATAGTTAATAAATATCCTGTAATGAAAATAGAATAAAAGTGATAATAGATAATACTAAAAATAAATACATATACTAAAAAACTTGATTCCGCAATTTTTAAGCACTCGTTTAATTAAGTTACAAATCGATTTATTCTGCAGCGTTTACAAATATAAATAATACATTTAAACGCTTTATAAAGAAAAATTTCTACGGAACACCAAATTCTCAAGTTTTCAATTACAGAGTAAAGATTGTGACGCATTCGCTTTGTGTCGTAGCTCGTAGATATCGACCGTGAAAATTACATGGTCAGTAATACGTCACGCTGGTACCGTGTCGAGGTGCCAGCGTCGTCGCAGTCGTCACTATTCGTTTATGCAATAATGGCAGCGACTTAGTTGTGTATGTATACGTAAACAAATTATACATCACTTCTTATTTTTATTTTTATTATCTACCTATTCCAGCTGACCGGCAAACGTTTGCTCCGGGTTGCCACTGATCCAAACAGTTTGAATGGAAAAAAAAAACGGGTTAATACGTATTTTTCAGAAAATCTTTACAAATTTTCCTTTTATAAGATCCTTCCCTGGATTCCAACAATTATTTGAAAGAAAAAAATTGGACCAGCTATTCTCGAGCTTTACTCTTAGCAACACGATAATTTCGTGTAGTCCTGGCATAAAATAGACCACCCCTTCCTCTCTCGCGGGTGTCATAAGAAACAACGAAGGGAACTTAATCGTCGAGAGATGAGCAACAGCGTCCCTCTAAAAACATCACCAAAAACCTAACTGCAGTTGCCAACCCGCCTGCCAAACGTAGGTACTATTATTGCATAGACATTTATTACACATACAAATTACCTCGTAGAATAAATATAAGTATTAGAATAAAAATATACAAAGGATGAATTTAGCTGTAGCAAAGTTTTTTTTTTTAATGTTAAACAATAAACCCAAAGTGAAATATCATATCAATGTCAGCGCCTTGCTTTGTACTTACTCAAAGGCGGGTAATATAAAATAGGTAACTTCGATTTAAATAGAAAAATATACGTAACAGATTTACAGATTACTTTGAATAGAAATACTTACAAGTACCATTCAAGACAGCTCTTAAATATATTCAGGTTGTCTTTCACAGGTGTTAGGAAGAAAGTTTCGTAAATTAATGACACATCAACAGCTAGTCGATACATAGAATACATACTAACCGTGAAGTAATCTAGAATAAATACCACATGTACCGGATCTAACAGAAATTCTAAAAATTTAAATATAGAAGAGTACTAATATCTTATGATATCTAATGAATGATTTCATGAAGATAGTAAATCAACAGCAAATTAGGGCTTGGAGACTGAAAATTAAATAGCTATTATACTTGAAGCTTACTTACCTACTTGAAAGCTCTATTATTAAAATATAATTTCAAGTTAAAATCAGACGTTATTTGTATCTATATACTCAAGTCACTATACTCCTATTTACACTGCAACATTTTCAAAACGATAAATAAAACCATTGTAAATAATATCAATTGTAACAATGTAACGTACATTCAGTGTCAAAATGAAACGATCGTAGAATGCTCTACAATTTTGGTAGTAGCAATTAAACGTTTAAATTGGACTTTACGCAACAGGAAACATACAGACATAGAATTTGCTGTCGTTGAGTAATTGTAACGATAATATTAATATAGTCTTTGAGTAATAATTTAAATTGTTTAGTTATATAGGTAAGTACAGGTTTTAGTTAATTTACCTACTAATACACCTACTCGTAAAGTCATTCATCCGATATTTTAGTTACATGGGATGCGATCACTCGTTATTGATACTTTATCCTAATGTAAATATCTATGCCAAATGCTCAGTTGATAACAGCTGTTACAACCTAACATGCAGTTAAATTTTTTTTCCAAAATATACCTATACTTGTCGAATAGGTATATTTTTAAAAAAATAGTTTCATATATTAGAGTTACTACTAGTTCTTGACAAAAATTTTTCAGTATTATTTTATTTAATTTTAACTTGTTATAAATTATACTTTATATAAATAATTTTACTGAAGTTAAAATTATATAAAAAATAAGACCCATTAAGAGCGTAGAAGTTTTTATATTATTTTCTTCTTTACCAAACATAGGCCAGGCCGATGTTTTCATGCAATTTAAGCATTGCAGTTAGAACATAAAATAGGAACTAAAAAATAAACCTAATTTCAGATGCAGCAGTTGGCCCTGTGCCAAAACGCCTGCATTTCTTTGCTAAATGCAATGCCGACAAGTGTCTACACTCTTAGAACTTAGATACAATTTAGTGTTTATATTTCATAATGAACATTAATGATAAAATAATTAACAAAAATTGTTACTTTTTATTATAATTTTACTAGCTACATACTCTATCTGTATGTAGCATTTATAATACCTATGTTTCTTAACTTATGTAAAAATTATTATCTATTTATTGTAGATGCATGAAAAATAAATTGGTACCTATATTTTTCATTTCAATTACATGCATTGCAACTATCTAAAGATAAACTATCTGAAAAAATATATCTTCCTTCATTATATTCCAACAGTAAAAAAGCAAACTGCAAACCATTATACTCGTAAAGAGGCATTACTATAAAAAAATATATTTATTATAAAAAAAAATATGTTAAGAATCATTATAATATAGAAGTCACTGTATTATTATTTTATAAGCTAAAGATTACTAGATATACTAGAAAAACGAAAAAGTTTCAAATGTACCTAAAGTCCAGATATCGCATTCAATCGGAAACAGATGAATTTTTACAACCTGCACTCATGGAGGTGGTCATTTTGAGAATCGGTCTTTCCCAGTGAGCAATTCCCAAAGGAGATAATTGTGCTTAAGTTTTATTATTTGGAAAATTATTAATTTGATCTCCCGTACATATCTATACAAAATTAATATACCTTAATAAAGTCAATGCTATTCCGAATGGACGGTAGAATAATAAAAAAAATAATATAAAAAATGCTTATAATTAAGTTTACTTAAATGAAAAATATTCTTATTAATCGCGCTTATTAAGCACGTAAGCATTGTATCCAAAAGAATATTTAGGAACTAATAGAAACCAAGAATGTAATATAAAATATTAAAATTTCAATGAATAAAAACTTTATATTTTTAGATTTTTCTTTCATAAATCTAACTTTCATGATGACAAATTTTATAGAACCAAAACGATATTAAACTCTATCATAATCTGCAGAAAAATAACATAATTTGAATAATAGAAAATAAATTTTAAATTGAAATAGTTTGTGTTTTAGAATTAGCGAAAATATCGTATAATTTCCCCACTAAAAATAATATTAATTTAAAAACCTCTTAAAACCGGTTCAAAAATACAACTTTTGCAGCTAGGAACAAGATAAGGCGCCTATTTTATTCAACCCAGTAACGTATAAGTTATCAGTAAAATATTGTGAAATGTTAACAATTTCAGTTTGTTTGTAATTGTTGTTTTTAAGAAACGCTTGATTGCAACCACAACTAATTCTTTGCCCAGTAAAATGTAGGGCAATCTCGGACACCGTTCTAGTTTCTCAACGTCAGTTACTTATCTCGTCGGGAGTCGTTGCCAACGAACCACGGCCAACAATTTTATGTAACTTTGTTGTCGAAATGTGAGGTGAAATTGATAAGTTTGTTTTTGTATATCTAATTGCCGATACGTTTTGAGTGCCACCCACTCGCTTCTCATTACACTTATTTGCGATAACCATGTTATCATGTCAAAACATACTTTGATATTTTTTTTATACAACTTAGAATGGCAAACAAGCTGACGGTCCACCTGATGAAAAGTGATCAAAGATTATATTTATATACCTATATACACTATATATACTATTACCAGATTACCCGCTAAACATATATGTAACTACATTAGATTGGTTGAAAGAGATCTCTGTCATAGATAAGCCTACCCTTGCTAACAAGATCTACAACTATTCCGTATTTCTTTTTGTACAAATGCTATAAAGAATACAAAATAGTTACCTTAGCTAGCCTCCAGACGGTTTGATTAAAAAAAGCCCAATCCAATATTTAAAAACTGGTTTTCAGTCGTTTGTATATATTCTCCTAATAATCTTTAAAACTACATCTGTACAATTGTATTGAATACTCGAACTTGTTTTATTCGAACGATATGAAGTTTCTTCAAAAGATATATTTTTTACGACACCCATGGGAAAGAAAAGGGTGGCCTATTCTATACCGGAACCACATGGCAACATTTTGTACATAAATATATAATTTTTCGCCATTAAAATACTTTTTAAAAAGTTGTAGAAGTTATGTAGTAAAATATAATTATAGGTACGGTTCATACGCCAAACAGCATAAGATTAATCAATGTAAAAGTAACGACGTTTGAGTGTTTACTGACAATTGTTACGTTTAAATGGAACATTAGCCATTTAAGATTTGAATGAAACTTAATGTACAGATGCACTATATCCCAGTACCATATCCTAATTACGAGTTAATATGTTTAATATTTTCAACGGTCGCCAGTATGAAATTCTTCAGTGATATAAATCCGCCATTGTACGTTACATTTTTCATGACTTCTGTATAAAATACCTACAATTAAGATTTTACAATAAGAACGTTCGAAAGGGAAGGAAAATATATAAATATCATTATTTTTCCCCGCTAAATTATGCATTAACGTCCCATAACTTCAATATATATATATATATATATATATATATATATATATATATATATATATATATATATATATATATATATATATATATATATATATATATATATATATATATATATATATATATATATATATATATATATATTCGAGTATACTTACTAGCATGAAAATCAGTTATAGTAACCATGACACTAAACATGTTTCCCCAGGGAAAATATTTGAAATATAAAAACAATTTTGAACCTTTTATATCAATCCTTTTATGTGCCCGCACGGACTAAGAAAGGTTTCAAAATTATTTCCATATTTGGACTATGAAAAAGTTTTTCAGTATCACTTATTATTATATCTACTATCATTAATTTTAACAACTTTTTCGAATAATAAACTTACCAACATATTGAAATATGTAACAAGACGAAATTAAAATAAATTATTAACAATTACAGTTACTTTTAATGTAAAATATCATCACAGTCAATAAAAACAATAACACTTAAACGACGTAAGCTTAATTAGATAAACCTATACATAGGCCTAATAAACAGGCGTCGATGGGAATCGAAGGAAGGCTTAGTGGCCCTTTTTGTGTCCCCAGTGCTTGTGATCCTCGTGACCACCTTTCTTCCCATGATCATGATGGTGATGATGATGTTCATGGTGACCGCCCTCATCATGATGTCCCTTATGATCGTGATGGTGACCGCCCTTCTCGTGGTGACCCTTCTTGCCATGCTCATGATGATGATGGCCACCGTGCTTATGACCTTTGTGGAATCCACCTCCCTTCTTATGCCCGTGCTCCTCGTGATGCCCACCGTGGTGCTCGTGGTGACCGCCTTCGTGGTGGTGATCGTGGAAATGTTTTTCCTTCTTGAACTCATCATGCTTATGAACCCCGTGATGGCCTTTAGTAGAATGACCCTTATGATAATGACCTTCTTCATGGTGACCATGACCTTTATGTCCTTTCTCGCCATGGTGGTGTTCGTGATGATGACCTTCGTCGTGATGGTGATGTTTCTTATGCCCGCCATGCTCATCATGGTGTCCCTTGTGCCCTTCGTGATGATGATGACCCTTCTTCCCGTGTTCATGATGGTGGTGACCCTTATAACCCTTGTGGCCCTTCTCACCGTGATCGTGATGGTGATGGTGATGATGCTCATGGCCACCGCCCTTGTCCCATTTACCACCATGGTGGCTGGCAGCTGACTCTAAATCCGCATCTCTCCTCACACGAGATACTTCACGACAACTGACATACGCCAGCGCCGCTAATGCGACGCAAATAAACACAAAAGCTTTCATGTTCCTGCCGTTCAGAACCGATGAAAACTAAACAAATGACTGATACCTGTACCACTAGCCAATAAGTTTTTATACTAGTAGATACTGAGTCCAACTGGTATTGTATGAAAATTGTGTAAAACCAAGGTTGCGACTATATAGAGCCGTGGATCGGGTTGCGCAGCGTCCAGACCCGGTGTCTCAACAAGAAAAAGTAACACCAATGACAACAAATAATGTACTGGAATACTACGTATAACATTTAATTAGAAATTTAACTTTTCAGTATTTCTCAATCTATTTAGATGGAAAGAAAATTATTATTAGACAAAGTTAGCGAAAATTCAAAAATATAACGATTTTTGATATTTCTAAATGACAGTTTAGAACAGCGTTTCCTTATACTCCATACTAATAGTAATTACTTCAATATTGGCAAAGTTAATATTGAACAAACTTCAAACTAAGAACTACACCCAAAAATAATAAAGTCTAAACGTTTCCTGTCATCCTGTAACTCTTATATATTACCAACTCTCTCCCACACTCTATATGAAACACTCTTCAATAGCAACTTTCCTTATAAAAGAAGACATCTGCAATCACAAATTCAAGTCTTAATATAATCCTAATTTTTCACTATCGTACCTAGTATTTACCTGTAAAAAGTCTGTAAAAATCTTTATATGTCTCTCAAGATTAAGCAATGTTAAGTTAAAAGAAACTGTATCGTTGCAGGCTTACTTGAGCGTATCTGTGGAGAAACAAAATTTTATTCCGTTTGTCAGTTCTTCTTTTTAAATGATTCAATTGAAGACAATTACAATTCATCATCATTCATTGCTGATAATCGTCATTACTAACAATCCTCCTCTCCCCTGCCCCTCTGCATTAAATATTATCATACAGTTAATAGGCCCGTCTAAACCCGAAAATCCCCTGGGTTTAGACGGTTTGTTCGAGTAAATTATCAAAACAAATCTAAAAGTTTTGACGAAGAAAGAATAAGCAATATACGTATAGAGCTGATTTATTTTTATACTCCGACACAAAATATGCTTTAGACGTCCCAGATAAATGTAAATTATTATATTTATTTCTGACAAAATACCTATGCAAGACTAATTCTTGTAGCAAGCAAATATTTACCCGTGTCTAGCAAATACCTAAACTACAACAATATCACATAAGCAGTGCCTACATAGACTGTAGATATCTATCTAGATATTTCCTAATATCAGAAAATCTAGAGAAATATAAACAAAAATTTCTAAAACGTCCTATTTTTTTTTAAATATACATTCTCATAAAATAAAATTCTAAGTAAACGATGTCTGTACATGGAAATTGATACGAAAGTAATAAAAACCTCATTTATAAAATCATACACACAATCATTTATAAAAAAAATATGTAATATACAGTAAAAAGTTATAAATATACAGTATTTCGACACCACGCAAAAACTACCACACCATATTGGATGCGGTTTTCACATTTGTGTTTCCGAACGTCAAACTTAAAATCTGGTGTATATTTTATTTCCAAAGTCCTTCCACACAAAAACCCGGGTTTCAACGGATTTCAAAAAGAAAGTTCGTCAATTTGTTGTATTTTATTTTATGTTTGTTACCTCATAACTTCGTCAGTTATAAACCGATTTAGAAAATTCTTTATATGAAAGGATATTTTTATATCTTTAAAAAAAAAGGGGGGCAAGCGAGCCCCGTCGCATCTCTCCGTTCATGAGCACCCGCAATACCAAAGGAGTAATAGGTATACTGCCGATCTTTTAGAAAGAAATATGCTATTGTCTTGAAGGTTACGAGGTCCTATCGGTTCGGAAATACTGCTGGTGGAAGTTGATTACAAAGCGTGATGAAGTTTAATTTGTGGTAGATTAAACGGTGAAAATCAGTAACAGATATCAATCCGAACAATTCATCAGAACGCTCCCAACATGATATATTCGATAAAGACGGCCTATGCCTCCTTTATCCAATACATCATGGGTATATATAAATTGCGTATAGACGTTGCATCATAAAGATGCAACATCTCTACGCAATTTAAGATGGTAATTTTAAACGGAAGAAGCTGGTACTGTGGCACTCCTGCCCATAAGTGAGAACAGTATTTTTTTAAGACTATCTTAGCCTTTTTCTCCTAACAACCGAAAAACTGGACGTCGCTTGGTATATCAACGCCAAGAATTCCTAGTCTCAAGAGAATCCCTAGTCTCTACTTATTGTCAAGGGCAGTGCCTTGAAAGTGAAGAAATACGATAAATGACGTCTTATTTGCGATGAACGCGCAGACTTGTGCTTTCAAAAGATTGAATTGGACAAAATTGTTTTCCCCCCAAATCGAAATTTGATGAGTGAAGTTTCGATTGCAGACACAAATCTATTCCGGTACTTATTGGTAAGTGCCCGCAAGACGTTTGCATGACTGGTATATAATGCATCCCCTGTAGTGTTATCTGCATAGCAATGAATATTAATAATTTGTAACGTATCATCGATATGCAGAAGAAACTGAAAGATGTTATCAAAATTTGTACCAATTTTGATTGTAGTTTAGTTTGGAAATCAAAATAACTGGTTTTATCACAATTGAAGTCGGTTTTTTTGTGAAATACAATCTTATTTATCTATCACTGTGGTCAACTGACTTCAATTGTGGACAGCTTCATCCTCACTGAGGGAAAAGGATAGTTAGAATTTGGGTCTAACAACCCCATTGCTAGCAATATACCCTATCGGGTCAGCATCCACGCAAGTCTCCCTAGAAACCATCGTGGTTAATTCTCGTCATGATAGGTTAACTGACCTGCTTTCATCCTCACTTATCCCTTACTTAAAACCCCGCCATTGTAAATTAATAACGCAAGTGAATTTACCATTCCATTTTCATCCTTCATAATAACAAAGTACTGAAATGAAAAAATATTAAAATAGTCAAAAGAAAAAAGTATTATAATTTTTAGTATAAGCTCGGCCCTGACAAACATTGTTTAGCCTCCTACCATCACCTATCGGATCCATTTTAAGGATTCCATATCAAAAAGGAACCCTTATAGTGCAACTTTACCCGTCCATCCAACCTGACACAGCGCTATATCTCAAAAATGCTATTTATTTGAAGTTTGGAATAATCTTATATTTCATTGACACATACGTGCTGCAATAGAAACAAATGAAAAAAACGTTTTTATTATCTCCTCTATGGGATCCATTTTTATCTAAAGAAAACAAAAACCTATTTACAGATTATATACAGAACCCTCAGAAGCAAGAAACTAGCTGTCTGACACCCAGATCATTATGCAAAAGAATTTGAATTATTGTCATTCTAATGCCTATCTATAGTTGTCCGGATCTCGTCATATAATCTCATATCTATTGTCTAGTCTCGATATATTTGGTCTAGTCCATTTTTTTGCTCAGCAATGACATTTTTAGGTGTCACTGTTTTTTTTTTAAACGAACTGTAAAAGTTACAGTACCAAAAAAATAGTGAATACTAGTTGCATGTTATGATTTGACTACAGACGAGATATCTCAAAATTATAAACAGAAAAGAGTACAATGAAATATTATTTTTGAGATACTCTCGACGAAAATTATTATAAAATCGTGACCCTTAAATTTTACGAGAGTTGCGGTAAGAAACCGGGTTGTCAAATTTAGTATGGATATATTTTTTCAAAGTATTACTTTTTTTATTATTTAAATGTCATCATCATTCTAACAGGCACTGCAGGTGCCTTAATCTAAATCTTCACGTAGCAAAGTTTTATTCTCTCATATTCGAAAATACCTAATTTCGATGTGGCCCTCAGTACCATATAATAATAGATGACAATCCCTTCAGAATCCTCGATCCCCGTGTGGGTCGTCTAAATAATCATAAATTGAAATTACTTATCCACAACTCCCACATCTACACCAAATCTTTTACAGCGCAAGCTATTAGACTTTAGAATTCCCTCTTAAATGGCGCAGACCGTTCATGCCATCAAAGCTCAAACAATAAGATTTCGAGCTGACAGTTGAGTTACTTATATTTATAATGGTTACTCTATGTTTATATATATTTATATATATTTATATATATTATGCTTTATATACAAAACCTATAAATACTTTTACCAGAGAAAGACTGTACAAAAGTCGTTTGCTTAGACACCTCTGTACCATTCATGTTTCTACCGTGAAGCAGTTGTTTGCATGGCTGTTTCGGTTTGAAGGGTGGGATATGACAGTAAACTTACAGGGTACAGAGAAATAACAGCAGTTTTCAGGAATGGCAACGCATGGGGGGTATCATAAGCGAAACGGTATGCCTTATTATATCCATGGTATTGCTCAGGCGACGGTTACCACTTTCCATCAGGTGGGTTGTCAGCTTGTTTGCCATTCTAAATTGCATTAAAAAAACTTTCTCCTTTCGGGTTCTCAGTGTTGGCTGGCAGAAATCCCTTTAAGGGATAAGTCTGCCTGTGTACATTTTGGTATAACCTAATATCTATAAGTGAATGTTCAAAGCATATAAATAAATAAATAGATTTTCTATAGTGCGACACGTTAATAAAAGAAAATTTGTGTTTTGATTTCGATAGGACTGTCTAAAGCTATAAGATTGTACACATGTAAAAATTTACTAAAAACTGTATGGATATTCAGAAAAGCATTTAGAGAAAAATAAAAAAAAAATTATTAATATTTTCACTTAGTATATTGATACAATCTTTAACAACAAGTACAGGAGCACTACAAGATGCTATATTGTTAATAATATTACATTAAATACCTATTAAAATTAAACTAAAATATATTTTAATTCATAGAATATTTTATATCATTACCATAAATCACAATCAACTTTCAGTTGACAAAATTATTTAACTAAAGGAACATAGCTCTACAGTAATCTTTCGTAGAAGCTTAATAAAGTGTTTCACACCACGAATCATATATTATTAACAATTTAGACTCCGTATATTTCAAGAGGCTTCGTGGCAATAAATTTATATCCATGTCTTTAATTGTGCTAAGTTTACAAAAGGTATGCGATACATTTTATTAATTAAATGAACGTTAACTTGATATTACCTATAGTATTAAAAATTTCAATGCAATCCAAAGGCCACAAATTGTGAGAAATTTAATGAATAATGTTAGTCACGGTCATATACTAATACATAAAAATTAGAAAAAATATTTCCTGTGTAATAGTAGCTTTTCAATAATGAATGTTACAGGGTAACGTGTGAAGGCAAAATCAAAAGCGTCCTTCTTGAGAATGGGACCCACAAATAAAAATATGAAATACTAATTTAATACCAATATCAGATGTTAGAAGAAAGAGACCAAATAATATCTAGTAAATTCATCTAAAAAAATTTTGTACTTCGTAGCACAATTCACATAACTCATAGCTTACAACTGTCTTTAAAAATAAATATGTATCAATAAATATCATTATTCATTTTATTTAATGCATATTGTTACAGAAGCGGTAATATAATACATTTTCTCGTCCAAACAACAAGATTATGAAAATTAATAAAGTTACTACTTATCATCGACATGAATACAGTTTAAATAATATAATAATAATATAATTACATTAACTATTTACTTTGCCGCCCAAGAAACATTATCTATAATGTTTTATTACGATGCTTGAATATACCATTGAAAATAAAATAGTTTTAATTCAAGTTTTCTTAAAATTATAGTACAATATCCGTAAATGTGAAGCTGATAGTTTCCTGTGTGGAATTTATTTTTTGGCCGACTCACATTAATAATTTGTTTGTCTTCTATGTAACATTCCCAAATAAAAATTTTGTATTGCACAAAAAAAATGGAAGCTGCCAGTTGACAAATATGGCCTCCTAAATAATTGAAACACAATATTAAATGATTGACTAGAAGCATTGTAACGTAAATTTAGGCAAGGTTACTGTATAAGCTGACGTTATCATCAGGTGTTTTCAAACCGTATAATATAGGAAAAAAATAATAATTTTAATAGAAGCAAAAGAGATGACAATTATTGTTATTGATAGTTAGTAAAAAAAAAATTTAATTAAAACAGAATAAAAGAGTTTGTATTTTTATTACTGTGCCATAAGACTGGCAACGTCCGAAAAGTCAAATTCAAACCCACAGTTTTTCATTTATTAATTATTAAAACTATAAAACTTTTTAGACCTTCGCGGTTACCTTTCCACTTAATATAGATATCTGCATATCTATCGTAACTGATGAACAGTTACGTGATGCTCCTGTCTCTTGAAAGAGGGTCAAAATATCGGTGCGCTCTAACAAGTAAATAATCATATTAAAACCCCATTTATATTATATATCATTAAATTCATTTCAGTATTAAAACAGATATCTAACATCGCCAGTCCTACGTCTTAAAGTATTGACACATTATGCATTGATTTCAAATTATACAATTTTTTTTTTTGTAAATATCACATTTATTCTCCATTTTCAAACCAAAGTTTTCAATTTGAAAAATCTTCAAATTAATTTCTTTGGAATAAATACATATGAATACAAACTTCGATAATCTCCGGATAAAATGAAAACGAAAAAATATCACGAAACGTTCATATTAATGGTAACTGTATTCTGTATCGTATACTTACTTCCCATAATAGAACTCGTTATAAAAGTCTGCGACAGAAGTAGTCTTTTAGATATTCATTCCCCTATATATTGTAACTAAAAGTTGTACCCTTTTATTATCATTTGATATGGAATACCAAAAATTTTAAATAATTTACGAGTGTTCCGTGGTCTTAAAATTTTAGGAACTTGAATTTAGGGAATACGCTAGAGCATTGACACCTGAAGATTATCGAAGTAAGAAAACTTTATTACTTTGTATAGCAGTCTCATATCACCATTAGGATTTGATGATTTAACACAAGTCTCAACTTTATTACTTACCTTTTACCTAAATACAAAAATAAAACATTGACATGTTAAAACATTTTCTTGATTTAAATGTTATTTTAATTCAACCACATTTATTAATTCAAACGCGAAATGCACGTTTTATAACAACTGCATTTTGTAAAGAACTTCTCCATTTTGAAGTTAAAATTTACCTTACTGTATCTATATTTAAAAAGGAAATTATGAGTTCCATACCTATATAAATCAATTACAATATAATATAGCATAGCCAATGTAGATATATTAAAATCCCCCAACATAATATTTAAACAAGTACTATTTTACATAACCTAATAAAGGAATAATTGAAATTTAAATATTCCATGTAACAAAATATGAATCAATCATTTACACCTATATTTTATTAAACTATCAAATATATATAATCATATGTACGTAACAACGCAATTTTACCAAGTACATCGTGTACTGCGGGTGTATAATACATGTATGGTGTTATTATCAACTTTTATACCGTAAGCCGTGTTTTACCAATTTACATGTTGCAAAGACAACATATTCTGTATCAACATATATTTTGGTAGAAACAAGAGTAGTCATATATATATATATATATATATATATATATATATATATATATATATATATATATATATATATATATATATATATATATATATTTAATATAACCCTATATGTTTGATAGTATAATAAGGTCATCTGGTCGAGAAACCACTTTCCCGATTACGTGTGAATAGTCAGTGCTGTATTTTTGCAGATTCTAATGTTATCATTAATATTAAAATATTGCCTATTGGTGTCTAGTTAAGGTGGAAGCCTCGCTCATTGGTAGCAGCGAGGAGTCGCTCACGGAGCACCTCTTTACATGAATACTCAGGCAGTTTCAGGTAATGCACACATGTGTTTACCGATGGGTATGATCCATCCCCAGCGTCAACCTACGGAAATATAATATAAAATTTACAATTAATCACATTTTTGTATCACTTTGTATTGCTTTTAATCGACTTTAAAAAAAAGGGATACTCAATTCAACAGTAATCAGTTTTCTATATTATATTTTAATTTAAAGAATTGTTTCAGGATACTCTGGACTATTTTTGTCGGCAACGTTTCAACTACAATTTACTGTTAATTTAAATAGTAGTAGCCTTTATATCACTCTAGGACATAGCAGATTCGTATCAAATTTTATTAAAGCACATTCAGCCACTTAATAAAAAAAAAAGTATCACATAACTATACATTCAAATGAAACTTGAAGTCACATTTACATAACTGTTATATAAGCTTCAGTGGTGTGAGGCAAAGAGGGCTATCATCACCTATATCTCTTCAACCTATATCTCAATGACCTGATGGATTCATTTATTCATTGCGCTCAGCAATACCCGCGTTAACTGTCATGTTGACTGAGTGAATGTTAACTATAATCAAATAAAATCTGTTTTAAGAGGATATTGTAAATAATCATTAAATAAAATATAATAATACCTTTCTCACTACAGTAAGCCTAGGGTGTAGATTAGCGAGTCCACCTGGCGGCAGACTGCTGCAACCCGTCGCAAATTGTAGGAACGCCTTTCGCTCAACCAGCGACATCTCAACTAGTACATCCACGAGACGCAGGAAGCCAGGGCTATATCGAAATTGTTAAAATACTTATATTACATAGAAGATTATAACACGTATTGGATTCTGATGCAAATATTATCTATCTATATTTATAATAAATCTGTAGACAGGTCAATTCTGTACATGAAATATATTTCCAAAATAACTATCAGGGGGTGATTAGTAATCGATACTGATGCCAAAAATGCAATCTGTAAAATTTTTGTCTGTCTGTTTGTATGTTCGTTATAGAAACAAAAACTACTCGACAGATTTTAACGAAACTTGGTACAATTATTCCTCATACTCCTGGGCAGGTTATAGTATTTAGGTACCAGGTTATATTTTTCATCACACTACAATCAATAGGAGCAGAGCAGTGAAGGGAAATGTTGGGAAACGGGAGAAGTTACTCCATTTTTAAGCTTCCGTCACGTGTGCCGCCGGGACGGGCCGCTAGGAAAAAATATTACTAATCACAAACGTTGTCAAAAGCTAATAATAATTATTGTGATCTATGTACCTATGGAAAAACATTTAGAGCTAATATGTATTTTCTTTTATTTTACAGTCAACCATGCTTTAAAAACGCGAAAAACAGCTTATTTACTAAAAACTATCCAGTTATTTTGAATTCTTCATTTCAGGAGCTAAGCATATAAGTCATACATACCCACATACAGAAACGCGAAAATAAGACTCTCCACGGCCCAATGGCTAAGCTTAAACATCAACTACTAAGCATGAAGTATGACTGGTATGATGGTAGTGGTCTAATAACATAACCGGTAGCATAACTAGTGACATAACCGGTAACCAGATACAAGGAACAAGACCAAGAACTGTGAATAGTAATCGGTAATTAATGAACATTGAAGAATGACCGACCACAACAAATGTAATTGCGCGTACCGAGCAAACGTGGACAAGGAACAGGTCATCGGTAATAATTAGCTATGAACGAGTGTCATTTTTTCACCTTCGAATGGCAAACGAGATGGAAAGTAGTAACCGTTGCTTATAGACATGAACAGACATTTGACATTTGTCACATGTACATGTTAGCCATCACCAATCAAATGATTAGTGACAGCTAATATGCGACCGGTGTCACCGTGCGTCACAATCAGCTACACACCTGTCGCGGGTATAGCCGAGCTTGGGCTCGGTGTACTGCAGCAGGTGATCGCGCGTCCAGGCAGGTCCACGTTCGCCGCAAAGCAGTAGCCGCAGCTCGGCCGGCGAGAAGGCCCGCAACCGCCGCGGCGGGAATACGGCACCAAAGCCACGACGGAACGCCGCCGCCTGCCGCCGGATGCCGTCGCGCACCATCCACCGTGCCGACGCCTCCGCGTACGCTCGCGCGTTATGTGGTCCCACCTAATGGCCACGCAGAGGGGGAAAGGGTTTGTTAATAATTGGGTTTAACTAACCAACTGCTAGCAATACACTCTAGTGGTTAATTCTAGTGGAATTCATCACAATGGGCTAACTGACCAGCTTTTACATCCTCGCCTATTATCCCTCACTCATGCTCTGCCAGCGTATACCGTTAACGTAGGCGAGATTACCAGTCCAAAATAATATATATTGTTACATCTGATATTTATTTAAAATTAATTAATTTAAGTATACTATGTGGTACATTTCATACTTAATTCTGACCAATATTTTAATTATAAGCAAATCACTGAAACTCGAAAATTGCTATTGTTATAGACACAATATTATACTATAACATATGTAAAATACTAACATAGCATGTATAGTGTGATGTATTTGTGGATTTTTTTATGCAATTAGAAATTATAAACCAATTAATGTCCTATGTAGAAAGTGGTCATGATCGCCTACAGAAATGAACAGCACCATAGACATAAAAAATAGATTACAACCTCTTAGTACTCCATTATTACTACTATTATTATGACTACTAAATTGTTATGCTTCCATTGCCCTGTAATTCCCCTGACGTATTTCATACTAAATATAAACAGAAAACAGAATTATGAAAAGCGGTAGTGCGTGGTGACCTCAATGTGTTCGCCGCCGTCGCAGAGCGGCTGCACGGCGACGGCAGGGTCCGCGTGCGCGGCCACGTGCGCCATGCAGAGCGCGAGCTGGTCGAAGGTGGCGCCCTCCACGGTGAGCGCGGCGGCGCGGCGCGCGCGCTCGTCTGGCGCCAGGCTCTCGTCGCGCTGCAAGCTCTCGTACTGCTCCGCCGCCGTTAGCACACTCTGGAGGAATCTGCGAACATACATTCAGAACGATTCTAAATTTAATAAGAGAAAAAGTACAATGCTTTAAACACCTGCAATTATTTTAGCATTTTATTTTTTAAACTATTTTCTTTATTTGAAAAAAGTGACAAAACATACTAATAGTTAAAATAGACTAGTAGAATGTTAATATTTATGAATAGAAAGGTTAACACTTGCACTTGCTTCACCTCTAACTCGAATTTTGATCACCAATGAATCTTTAATATCTTTAATGAATCCTTAGTAATAGTATTATAAATGTGAAAGTCTGTTATCTCTTAAAATTTTGTATACATACACTAAAGATATAGGCTACTGTATCTGACAAAAAAATTATCTCAATCACGCAGGCAATGTGACGAGTAGAAGCTTAAACAAACTAAATCTATATTGACTGCGGCCGTACCCTTATTAGAAATCGTCCCTAACACTTTTTACTAATACTAACAAATATTAGCTAAACATTTTCATTAAATGTGTTTTCTTTTGTTAGATATTAACGCAATGGTCACGCCATAACACTTATATAGTTGCTCTCCGTATATAGCATAGAGGTACACAAACAAAACTTTACCTATGCCTTATAGGATCAATTTCTTCAAGATGTTCAGTCCTAAGTTCTTCTCCACACATTATACGTAAAAAGGTCTCTGAAATAGGTAGATCTACGAGCCGTCCATCCTGCAAAACCTAAACAAAAAATAAATATAAGTAAATAGCACAGTCTTTTAGTTATTATTTATTTATTAAAAATAGTTGTGATTAGCCATCACAGCAGCAGATATTAAAATAACGAAAAAAGAAAAAAGCCTTAAAAACATCCATCAACAGCAACTTTATAAAAGCTATCTATGCTTTTACATTTATGTATTATGATTAATAACATCATTTCAGCCATTATCTGTCCACTGCTGGACATAGACCTCCTCTATAGTCTGCCATAACAGTCCTGAGCCACCTGCATCCACTGACTCCCTAGATAAATTTAGTAAAAATAAATTTATTTTCAGTATTTCAGTTACTAATAGAAATGTTGCTGGGTAACAATTATGTAGATAGAAAAGTTCTTACCTTAGCTAAAAATACTCCTAGGAACCAGAAGTATTTGCAAACTTTATCACAGATAGGAGAGTCTTGAGGCAGCGGCGCCGGAAATAAGCCTCCTGCACGTGTCACATAGTACCCGGGTGGCTTTTCTATAAGTAGACAAAATATAAAATGAAATAAACCTGAAAGTAGTTGTTCATTATTTGATAAAATTTAATAAATTTACCAAAATAGACTCCTCAATAATCTTATCAATTTTCACTTAATACTGTAGTACATCAAGTTCACAGGATAAAATAAATTGTCAAATAGAAAAGAAAGCAATTAAAATATTTATATATAGAATAATGGAAAGTAAGAATAAATGGCTACATGCATAATTGTTATAAAAATAATTGGAAATATTACTAATGTTTTGAAAACATTATGTACTAATATTAAAGTTTTGTTTATACGAGGTCTGTCCGGAAAGTTCGTATAAAAGTGTTCTGGAATGCGAGAAAGAGGAGTGGGGAGGCCAGGTAAGCGCAGGACCCCTTCCTTATGTCCCTAACAATGCTTCAGTTCTGGTCTGACCGCCGTGCGGTGCGAACTGGCTTGTCACGCCATCTGTGAAGTTACCTCTTAACGAAACCCCGTCGGCATGGAGCCCGCTTCCGTTGAAGAGCAGCGCGTCGTAATCAAGTTTCTCTCGAAACTCGGCAAGAATGGCCGTGAAATTTTTGCCGATCTCAGAACAGTAAAATCCCAAAGCAAAGAGTGGAAGACATCCGGGGAACCACGAACAAAAAAATCAAGAAAATCCCGCTCAAATGTCAAGACAATGTTGATTGTTTTTTTCGATGTTCGGGGGATTGTCCATCAAGAATTCGTCCCTCCAGGCCAGACAGTTGATGGAAAATTCTACGTCGATGTGCTCAGACGCCTCAAAGCTCGTGTGGCACGAGTTCGTCCAGAATTGGCGCGAGAGGGGCGTTGGATTCTTCACCACGACAATGCCCCTGCCCACACCTCTCTTGTTGTCCGTGAGTTTTTGAGTAAAAATTCCATTACGGTGACCGAACACCCCCCTATTCGCCGGATTTGGCCCCGTGTGACTTCTTCTTGTTCCCAAAAACCAAATTGGTACTTCGGGGGCGGCATTTGGGGGACATAAATGAGATAAAAAAAGCTACGACGGGGCAGCTGAGAAACCTACAACCAGAGGACTTTCAAGGAGCCTTCTCACAGTGGAAACGGCGTTGGCACAAGTGCATTATGTCACAGGGGGAGTACTTTGAAGGGGATAAAATTGATTTACCTGAATAATTGTAAAATAAAATTTTTAAAAAACTTTTATACGTACTTTCCGGACAAACCTCGTATAACCTAATCTCTGAAATTACTGATTTAAAAAAGAAAACGTTTTTCATAATTCAATTTGAGTAGAATAATGTAATAATGTAAACAAACATTGCATACGGTATATCTGTAATATAAAACCCGAGGAAAACGTGTATAAATTCCAACAATAATGGATTGTTAAAAGCACTCATACCGACCAACTTTCTGCAGTGAGATAACAACAGAATTGTCTGTCATTTTTTACAAACAAATTTCAATATTTCTGATTGATTATTTAATAGGTTAATTATAACCTTTTGCATTTTTATACATATCTATACAGGTGTGAGAGGATTTCACGTACCGTCCAGTAGCACTGGGTGGTGCATCGCGGAGTCGATGGAAGCAGTGGGCGCAGGCGCGTCGTGCAGCCACATGCCGAGGTCGGCGCGCTGCAGCTCGCCGCCCACCAGCGCGTAAAACTCCAACGTGGGGCCCAGCCCGGTGCCCTCCTCGCCCGCGAACTCCACCTCCAACACCGACTTGCGGCCCGCGTGCACGCGCATCACCTGCGTGTTCGTCCGTAAACACGACGTTAATGTCGCTAAATAATTTGTATTTGCGACAAATAACAATATAATATAATGTTACTTTATTGGAAACGATTGTCGTGACATGTAGACAAAATTTATATAAACGCTTTACACGTTCGATGGAAACACAATCTTAGACATATACGTACATAGTGAATACATCACTCAAATTTTCTATTTAGTGGTCCTTGTCAAAAGTGTGAAACTAGCGTAATTGCGTAATCTTAATATTAAAAATTCTGTGTCAGAATATTCTTTCACATTAATATCTGAAACCGCTCAACGTGTACTCCTTACTGCCGATTCTATATTTTAACGCGACGTGACTCAACAATGTCTTGCGTGTAAGCTAGAAACATTTTTATCCGCTGAATTAATGGCAAATAGCAAGTACATCAAAGTAGTACGATCCTGTCTATATATTAAATAATTTACAAATAATAAAGGCACACCTCTTTATTATTTGTAAAATATTTATTTAGAATATATATTATTATTTTAGTTTAATTATTTACAAACGTGCATTTTTAACAGATGCGAAAACAATATCAAATAGATCTCGTTCATTTCCTTCATATTCTATTCAAGCTCATTTGTTCATGATTTGCTTTAAATATTTCAAATTAGGTTATAAGTACAGGGCCGTCTTTACCCGGGGCTTCGACCACCTGTGCAGCCGCACCCAGGCGCGAATTCCTAGGAGGCGCCGAGTACTAGAAATCAGATTTTATTAACCTCTAACCTCATTTAATCGTCGTTTCTTAACGTTTAAAAATCTTTACGTGTATATTTAACACTTCCTGTTACAAAAGTTAAAGGCGAAAGGTCTTTTTCAAAATTAAAATTAATAAAAAAATTATTTACGATCAACCATGAATCAAGATAGACTAACAAATTAGGCCATTATAAGTACAAAATCAAAACTTGATTTCGGAATTAAAATATTTGCCATTGAACTTATGTTTGTCATTGAACATTAATAATAAAACAAATATAAAATTAAATTAAAACATGTTGATTATTTAGATTTTTTTTTAAATTACAGAATTTTAAGAAATTAATAAATGAAAGATTAGAATTATATTGCTTAGTTGGTATAGTACTTGCCTATTAAATAATAGTATAATATTAATATATTAAAATATTAATTTTCATTTCTGTAATCTTTTTTGAAAATTACAGTTTTGATAAATTAATAAATAAAAATATATTGCGTTTTTTTTTTATTTCTGCATAAAAAATGAGTACTTTACCTGCATGGCAGACCGTAGCAAATTAGGATGCCTGGGTATACGAACACGCTCATGCCGCAGCCGTCCCATGCGGAACTCATTAGCTTCCAAATCAGCGCGGCGTGGCGATACTGTATTACCCGCCCTGGATCGAAAAATTGTTGATAGGTATTATACATTTAGCATTAAATATTACTGCGGCCATGATAGCAAATGAAATAATTAACAAACACTTGTTATAACTTTTATATATATTTTATGGCGTATATTATTTTTTACAAAAAAATATATATTAAAGTTAGTAACTGACAGGTGCCAACTAATGTGCAAATACCTCTGCCTGTCAAGCGCGCGGTCTCGCTGTGCTTGCAACCACACGATGGTCCGCGACGTACCAAACGCTGTGCACGCGAAGAACATCTGCCGCGTTTCCAGCGGAAATAAGAATGGACACCAGTCGTTCAATTGCTGACACCTGTGATATAGAGATATTTTAAGATGTTTTATATTACAATATTTAAAAGTATAAAATTTAAACTTAAAAGAAATCAAAGAATCTTGGATTGCTTATATTTTGAAACTTCAAGTATAAAATTAAGAAATATACACCAAATCTTTACTAATGCATTGACACATATGGAATTATTCAATTCACTTTATAAGGAATTATTCAAAAGTACTGCACGCACTTAATTACATGTGAATCGCTTAAATACTTTATGATTACCCATGCTATACAACAAATTAGGACAGAAATTTCCTGGATCCAAAATGCAAAAACTACAAAAATTTGTAATCCCCCATACCAATTTAACAGCTGAACGAGCCGAGTTAATATGGAAGGCTCATATTTTTTAAGGGTTGTTGACGAATGATAAAATAATCAGTTGTGCTGGTTAAATTGCAAGTGCGATAGTGTGCGTCCGTGGATGTAAGTGTACGTGGATGCATATGCGTGTGTATAACGTGTGGTTACCAGGGAGGCGTGGCCGCGGCGGCAAGCGTGAGTGGCTCCTGCAGCTGCTGGTGCAGCTTGTTGGTGAGCTTGGTGGAGAGGAAGGACTCGGACGGCAGCGCGGGCGCGGCCGCCCTCAACCGCCGCAGCACTCGCACGCAACACGTCGCCATCGCGCCCTCCGCGCCTGATACTCCGGCCAGGCCGCGCTCTACACCGCAACACATTTGCACATTATATTAGCTTCCCTCAGATTACACCAATTGTCTTCAACGTTCCCTAATTTATAATAATTTCTCATTTTCACAATAATATGGTGGATGTCGTAAAAAGATTACTTCTTTGCATATATTTTAATAAAAACGGATTAATCTTTCATTATCGTCACGTTTTAATTATGTCATATATTTTCAAAATATAACAATTGTTACCTTTTCATTTTTCATTAAAAAAAAAAAACTAGAAAATTGTTTCCTTTTATATCCAGGCACTGTAGCAATGCAGTCAAAATATTATACATGTTAGCAATTTATTAATGTATGTTAGGTAATAAACAAAAGGAAAAAAAAACACAAAAGTATTTACAGTTCTACTATAAGAATGTATATGGTTAACATACCCGGATCACAAGGTTCATCATCCTCACTGTCACTTGAAGACGCAAATGTCTCCATTCCTTCTATTTCCTTATATGTTAATCTGTAAATAAATCCTCAAATTTCAAATCTAATAAATCAAACTTATACGTCATACTATTAATTAATTAAAACGGCCCAAATAAGAGACTAAGCGCGGAAAAGAGTCCAATTTACATTACATTTTACAAATCAAACTTAAATGAATGTTAGTTTGTTCAAAGAACACAAAGGAAACATACGTGTAAGTAGTGTCACGGTGCGTATCATGTGCAGACAAGCGCGAGTTGAGTGCGACGACGGCGCGGTACAACGTCCACGACGGACGCTCTAACGTTAACGACGCGCCGCCCGCGCTCAACACTAGCCGCAGTGCCGGCAGACGGCCGTTACTGCTACTGCTACTGCTACCATTACCGCCCTCGCTGCCACTCACTGCCGGCCCCGCCTCCTCCTCGGCATCTGATTCCTCGTTCAGCGGAACATCGAGATCTGTCAGGATATCAATGATGATAAACTGCCCCGTCATTTAACCATCAAGTCCTTTTAATTCTACAATAGCTAATACTATACCGTTTTAGCCATCCACCAATCACTGATGAAGATAGTCTTCACAAAATTCATCTCAAAATCATTTGTTTATTTATTTAGACTTCATCATACAGTAAATGAATTAACACAAACATAATAAAAAAAAGTCTACAATAGGCGAGCTTAACCCGATATTTAATATATTAAGAAAGCAATGGATCTTACATATTACTTACCGACTGTTTGATTGAGATTGGTGCGCCCTGGGCGCGGATCGAAAGCGGGAATGAGTGCAGAGAACTGTCGTTTGAGCACAAAGTCATCATCCCACGGTCGACGCGTGCGAGCGTTGTTCGACCCGCCGCCACTCGCACCCCTCACGGCCTCCAGTGCTTCTTCTTCCATTAGTGACAACAAATTGCGAGATACCTGCCCAGTAAATAAACATTTATATTTATATGAATTATAAACTATTTAAATTAAAAATCAACACCTAACGTACCAGAATAATCACAATTCACATTTTACATTGCCTTTGTAAGCTTTACTATTTATAACTAATGCCAAAACCAAATATAAATATATGAAAAAAATTAAAACCAGATACCAATATAAAACATATAAAAACATAACTAAAATATATAAAAATAAAAAAGCATAAATTTAACATATGTAAAATATTACTTAGTTAAAATAGCGTACAGTAAAATATCGATTGTGAGAATGAGAACCAAGTTTCTATAATCATCAATCAAATTTATTCAATCAAAATTACTATACTTGTATATATATATATAATAGACTGCAATATTATAAAAAAAGAAAACTGAACTAACCACTTCCTGATAGGTGGGTTCGTTCTCTTTGTCGCTATCGAGAGCGTCTTCGGCGTCGTCGTCGTCTTCGAGTTCTGTGAGCAACGCTGGCGCCCGGCAGGATTCCAAGAAATCCTCCAAGGAAACCTCCGGTAATATAACGTCACGTGAATAGCAAATCACGTCAGTAGCAAGTTTACAATTCTAAATTAACTAATGAGGGGGTGAGGGTTACACTATTTCCATACACCCACCTCTTATCAAGTCATGTACACGCTTTTAGCCCCCGTGGAGTCAGTAAAGATTCGTGCACAAAATCAACAAAGTTTTTTCTTATATGGTAAAGAACCGTTTATAAATACTTTAGAAACAAATAGCAAAACACGCACCAATAATTCATTTCCTTACATATTAATAACATTAATATAAAAGGAGGTTCCTGTACCGGCTTTAAATGTTTTTTCTTAGATAATATATGCATTATTAATGTTTGATATAATTACTCATATCTAAATGAGATATAAGAGAATAACTATATAATTATAATATTGTGTACTTTCTTACCTGTTCACTTTCACTAGACGTGGAAGTTAGTGATAATGTCAAAGCGTTTTGGGCGTTTGGCGCTAATGACGGGTAACTTTGAGCTGCTGATAATAAACCTCCCGGGAAGTTGCTTGACAGGGCAAGACGTACTAGGCTGTAAATTCAATTTTAATTAAGTAAATAATTCAAAAAATAACTGCAATTCTTTTTATAACAATGTAGTCCATTAACTGTTTCCTATTCTTTTGTACACATGAACCCCATTCTCGTGTGAATATTAGAGATTCAAGAGTTTTTAATAAAGAAATTGTATTTACTACTCTTAGAGGCCCACTGTCACCATCAACATGAAGAAACAACATAATATAATGAAATATAAGAATTTATACATACTGTATTTCATAAATCATCAACACCGAGATCATTTGCATAGTAAATTAGCATTGAATATTTTTTTTTTATTTCAGCATACTTTAATAAGAGCATTATCTATTTTTTTTTTAATTAAACACAAAGAAGGTAATATATAATTCCTAAATTTAATAGCCGATATAAATAATTACTATTGTAATGATTTCTATTTAGTACTATATTTAGTATTTAATACTTTTTCTATACTTTTTTTATCAGCTATATGATCACAGTATGGCAGAAAGTTAGCAATATGTATTAGCGACCGCAATGTACAGTCGATAGGTAGTACCTGGGGAAGAGGCTGGTGGCGTGGTTGGGCCGCGGCTGGCGCGGCGCCGCCTGGCCGCGGCCGGCGCCGCCCGCGCCGCGCCCTACGCCCAGCGACTCCAGCAGCCGCGCCGCTCCCTGTGCGCACGTACTACACTATAGATGGTTTCTATACAATTTAGTAAAAAGGTAACCAAGTCTTTTTTTTTTTTTTTAATTACCACAGACACACTCGCTAAATTCATTTTGTAGCAAATCGTAAAATTAATCATTATTTCTTTCTTTCATGACGTGAAGGCAAATGAGTATGCGGCTCACCTAGTGGTAAGTGATTACTGCCACCCATAAGCACCCACAATATTGGAGAAATTGTAGGTGTGTCGCCGGCCTTTTAAGAAGGAATATTATGATCTTTTTTCCCCTTTATGTTTATATTTTTACTACTATAGAACATCAACAGGATATAATAGTCAAAACAATTATTCATTTGTTTACATTTTCAATAAGTTCTATTTGAAACAAACAATAGATATAATTTTATATATATACTAGTTACATTATGTCTAAAGTAAAATACGCTTTATTAGAAAAAGAAAAAATATATATTTAAATAAATTAACAATAATATGAATAATGCCACTAAAATAACACCTACTCAGCTTTCATTGTTTTTGGGATGTACTTCATACTTGTGTATATATTGTATCTGTAAACTATTTTAACTGTAAATGACGAGATTGGATAAGTTGTATCTAAGTGATACCTGTTGTGTTAAATCCGGCTCACTAGCACTCATAGTTCCAGAGCCGCCGCCCGACGATCCATCTTTTTTGTGATCACCGTACTGAGCTTCAGCAGACTCGCTATCTTCACACTGTTAAAACATTTGACCATATAAAATATTTTTTGTTCGTGTCACTTCCAAAATATTTATGTAATCTGTAGCTTGAGTTAATATCTTCGGTAATAAAATAAATATGATATCTCAACACTAATAACATATTTTTTTTAGATGAAACATTACACATAAATTATATTACATTAAGCAAACAACAGCTATTGATTCATTACATGGGCAAAAACAAATATTATAACTTCACATAACACATTTTAGACATAACCCCCATGGCACGTCTCTGAGAAAACTTATATACCGTATTAATAATTATTTCTATTCCATATTCTATAGTTATATAAAAAATCAAATTTCTGAAGCAACACTGCCCAGACATTAGTCTAATTATAAAACTACAGTATGGCCAAATAGTAACTTCAATTATGACCCTTTAATACCTGTATATGAAGGCGGTTGGCGTTATTTCTCAGTGTGTGAAGCAGGGAGGCGGGCAGCGCGAGCAGCTCACTCGACAGCAGCGCGTTGGCGCTGTTTCTCACCGCATCGCCATCATTATTGAGCGGCTCGCTTTCCTGTGCACCCAACACCTCCCATTTAGCAACGCTTTATACTCATGCGGCCAAAATACGACTTCAATTCATATCCTCTTAGCCCTATTTTATATGACGGGCATATCTTTAGAAATGTCATTGTAATAAATGTTATGGAAGCACTTCCAGTATGTGGCACGTCTAGTGATCTTAAATCAGTGTAGTTATATATCTGTGTTTAGGTCGCTATGGTAACTAGATGTTCATATATGGTTGTTGATTGTAACATAAAATATATTATTCTTTGCTAATTCTCTTTATTCTCTTTAATATGGTAGCAGAGCGTTCGCGACCTCGGTAAATAGATAGTTTGTAAAGAACAAAGGTTCGGAGAGAGTGTAAACATGTCTACAAATGTAAAACTCGACATTCGACCGTTCGACGGAACTAACTGGACCACTTGGAAATTTCAAGTGTTGATGCTGTTGAGAACACACGCCGGAGCCTTGGAAGCGGTTCAAGGGACACTCACAAAGCCAACACATGTAATAGATAGGTATTTTTGAGATCATAAATACTATTACTTGATCTATGTTAGTGATGTGACTTATCTTGGTAAATTAGTTCTAGTTTCCATGACTACTGTCCTTGTTGATTTTGAGACATAGAAAATAAAGTTGTTTAAATTTTATCTCTTTTTAATTATTAAGTTAAACTCTTCAGAGTGCATGAATGATCTTATAATCCACTGCGTCTACCTTTGCGAAGTTCTAAACTTCAGGTTATGGGCCCAGAACATATAAGTTACAATGAGTCATCATGCATATGTTGAACCGTTGAAAAGAGAAAATTACGACACATGGCGAATTCATGCAAAAGCACTTTTATTGAAAATAGGCCTATGGGATTATGTCTCAGAAAAAATAAAGAAACCGATATGCGAAGGTGAAGATCTAGATAAATATTTAGAAAAAGATGCTTTAGCATTAGCTGAATTGTTTTTTATAATTTCACCAAGTGAACTGAAACAAGTGAAGAATTGTACAACTAGCAAAGAAGCATGGGACGTACTCAAGAGTATTTATTATAGCAAAGGTCCTGCAAGAAAGGCAACTATTTTAAAAGAATTAATACTAAGAAAAATGAAAGATGGCGATAATATAGTGGATCACCTAAATAAATTCATGGATATTGTTGATAAATTAGGGGAAATGGATATAAATATCAATAAAGATCTACTTAGTATAATGTTGTTATATAGTTTGCCGCAATCATTCGAAAATTTTCGAATTGCCATAGAATCCAGGGATGACCTACCAGATCCATATAATTTAAGAGTTAAAATTATCGAAGAAGCAGAAGCAAGAAAAAACATGGCTAGTACAAGTGACCAAAACTATGAACAAGAAGTACTATACAGTAAACAGTATCGAAAAAATAAGAAAATGAGTATAGAATGTTATAAATGTCACAGGAAAGGACATAAAGCTAAGGAATGCCGATCAAAAGTCTATAACAAAAGAGATATGAACTTATATTGTGCAGAAGAGACGTGTCTGAATACAAATAATAATAAAGAAAAACTAGATAGTTGGTGTTTAGATAGTGGTTGCACGTCACATATGACACACGAAATACAAAGATTTCGCAACATAGAAAAAGGAGACAATAAATCCATAAAATTAGCTTCAGAAAATTGTACAGCTCAAATTGAAGGCCGTGGTACAGCAAAACTTAATATAAAGGAACAACCAGACTTACAACTGACAGAAGCATTATATATACCAACTTTAACTACAAATTTAATATCAGTAGGAAAATTAACGGATAAAGGAGCAACAGTCCTGTTTCAAAGGAATAGCGCAACTGTCATGCGAAATGGTACTATTCTATTGAGGGCTTTCAGAAATGAGGATGGATTATACTATGTGAAAGAAAATAACAAAGAAAATGTTAATTACTGCAAAACAACCAATATGCTGGAATGGCATAGAAAACTAGCTCATCTGAACGAGGGGCAAATGAAAATAGCTCTTAATAAAAGAAATATAAACGGTCTGGAATTTGATAAAAATGACACAATTCGAGACTGCGAAGTTTGTGTTAAAGGTAAGGTAACAAAACTACCATTTAAAATATCTAAAAATGAGGAACGAACAAATGAGAGACTACAAATTGTGCATACTGATGTATGTGGTCCTATGAGACAACCATCAAAGAAAGGTTCCAAGTACTTTATCACTTTCACTGATGATTACTCAAGATATACAAGAATATATACTATGAAAACTAAGGATGAAGCTCTATCAAAATTTAGAGAATATAAAAATGAGGTTGAAAGATTTACTAAGCAAAAGATAATATATTTACAAAGTGATAATGGGACAGAGTATATAAATCACGAATTTGACAAGTACTTAAAAGATAATGGCATTAAAAGAAGACTGTCAGCACCGTACACGCCAGAGCAAAATGGTTTGGCAGAAAGAAAAAATCGGACTTTACTTGATAAAGCTAGGTGTATGCTGATAGACGCTAATATGACAGAAGATTTTTGGGCTGAAGCAGTTAACACAGCTAATTATCTGGCAAACCGTAGTCCTTGTAGCAGCATTGATAATGCGACTCCATTTGAAAAATGGGTAAATAGAATTCCATCTGTAAGACATTTACATATTTTTGGATCTAAGGCATTTGTTCTAAATAAAGGAAAAAGAAACGGAAAATTTGAAGCTAGAGCTACTGTAGGAATATTTGTAGGATATTCAGAAAATCACAAGGCTTATCGAATATTCAACCCAAATTCTGAAAAAAATACTTATTAGCAGAGATGTTAAAGTACTAAATAAAATGTTTAATGAAAACAAAGACGAACAGAAACAATTAATTCCCAAAGAAGAAGATTTAAAAGATTTGAATAGACATGAATTTTATGAATCAGAACAAGAAACGAAAGTTGATGAAATAGTCATAAATGTACCTGCAGAAACAGAAAATGAAGTATCAACTGATCATGAAATTGAAACCACTACTTCCAGTGATGAAAAACGACAAAGGAAACCACCAGCATGGCATCAGGATTATGAAATGGATGTAGAACAAATATTTTTCTGTGAAATAAATAAGAATAATGATGAATGGGAAGAAGCAATAATAAGCGAAATAGAATCTCATCTTAAAAATAATACCTGGAAAGTTGTACATATAAACGAGAGTAAAAATGTAATTGATAGCAAAATGATTCTTAAATATAAATACAATGAACTAGGAGAAATAGATAGGAGAAAGGCGAGATTAATAGCACGTGGTTTTAATCAAAAAGAAGGAATTGATTATACCGAAACGTTTGCACCAGTAGCGAAGTTAAGTACAGTGAGACTATTAATTGCGCATGCAATGGAAAATGATATGAAATTATGTCAATTAGATGTGTGCACCGCGTTTTTAAACGGTGACATAGACGAACAAATATATATGAAGAAGCCGAAAAATCTTGATAAATATTTAAATATTATTATATTAAATGGAAAAGATAAAGAATTAGTAAGAAAAGCAAAAGAAATGCTAGAAGATATAAACAAATACAAAAATGAGGGAATTTGTAAATTAAATAAAGCTATATATGGATTAAAACAGGCAGGAAGGCAATGGTTTTTAAAATTACATAAAAAATTGTTGGAAATTGATTTTAGAAATGCTACAGCAGATCCTTGTCTGTATATTTTGGAGAAAGAAAAAGAAAAACTTTTTGCAAATATTTATGTTGATGATTTGATACTAGGATACAAATCAGATAAATTACTGAAAGAAGTAAAATTGCAATTACAACAGGCATTTGATTTGAGAGATATGGGTTCTCTACATCATTGCTTGGGCATACGATTCACCCATGTAGGGGGAGAGATGATTTTATCGCAAGAAACTTATATTGAAAATTTAATAGAAAAGTTCAACATGGGAGAATGTAAGCCTGTATCTACACCAATGGAAATAGGTTTAAAATTAGAGAAAAATGAGAATGAAGAAGAAAAGAATGACTATCCATATCAAAAACTTATTGGATCGTTGATGTATCTGGCAATAGCAACAAGACCGGATATAATGTTTGCAGTGAGTTATTTAAGTCAATACAATAATTGTTATGGTAAAAATCACTGGCAAGCAGCTAAAAGAATAATTCGTTATCTGAAGGGGACGAAAAGCGTTTGTATAAGATACAAGAAATCTGGAATGCCTCTTATTGGTATGACCGATGCAGATTGGGCAGCGTGCACTGTTGATCGTCGTTCTTACACTGGTTATATTTTTAAATATGGTGGAGGTCTAATTAGTTACGAAACAAAGAAACAGAGAGTGGTAGCTTTATCAACTGCAGAAGCCGAGTATATGGCAATGACGGAAGCAGCGAAGGAAGCTCTACACCTAAAACACTTGTTAGAAGACATTGGAGTATTTCAAGAGAGTGTTACGATCTATAATGATAATCTGGCCGCACAGAAATTAGCTAACAATTTGATAACTGGAAAGAGATCGAAACACATCAGTATAAGAGAACATTTTATAAGAGATTGCATACAAAAGAAATTAGTGGCCATTAAGTATAAGGACACAGAAAATATGGAAGCAGATCTTCTGACCAAAGCATTACCACAACCAAGGTTATTAAAACTGCTCAAGAAGATAGGAGTCACTCAAACTTGTACTTAGGGTTCAAGTTCGTCGTGAGGGGGAGTGTAATAGATAGGTATTTTTGAGATCATAAATACTATTACTTGATCTATGTTAGTGATGTGACTTATCTTGGTAAATTAGTTCTAGTTTCCATGACTACTGTCCTTGTTGATTTTGAGACATAGAAAATAAAGTTGTTTAAATTTTATCTCTTTTTAATTATTAAGTTAAACTCTTCAGAGTGCATGAATGATCTTATAATCCACTGCGTCTACCTTTGCGAAGTTCTAAACTTCAACACATCCAAGTACCACTGCCACACCGGGAGCTATATCGACTTATAATGCAGAGTACGATGCTTATGAGCGAATCAATAGCACTGCATTTTTACTACTCACCACCAATATGACAGAGAAAATGCTCGCCAAAGTTATGCGTTTTACTACAGCTAAAGAAGCTTGGGATGAACTGAACCGGCTTTATGAAAGAGTATCGCAAGATCGCTTTTATGATGTCTGCATGCAATTCTTTGGATACAAGCTTGATCCTACTCACGATATGGGGACACACTTGACTACAGCAAAGAATTTATGGCATGAAGTAAATCTGATCTTAATGAAACAAGGTAAGACCGAACTACCAGAGATGTTGTTGATATGTAAAATTATGGATTCACTTCCTGAGGAGTACTTCAATTTCAAATCTAGTTGGGCCTTGATGTCAGTGAATGATCATACGATAGAGAACTTGACTACTCAGCTGTGCGCATATGAAAGGTCTTTAAAGAAAAATATAGATGAAGGTGAAAGTAGCAATGAACTTCTTATGGTACGAGATGAGAAACGTAATGAGAAGCAAAGTAAGAAGAAAAAGTTCAAATGCAACTATTGTGGAGAAGGGTTTCACAAAGTCAGGTCATGTAAAAAGTGGATTGCGGATGGTAGACCTCCAAAACCTCAAAAGCAATCTACGAATGCAGTAATGTCGACAGGTCTAGCTCTAGCTTGCAATGATAAAAATCTTCATAAAGAATCATGGTACGTAGATAACGGCGCGACAAGTCACGTAACTAATAGGAGAGATGTATTTCAGTCTTTCGAGTACTTTCATGATCCTCATACAATTACGACTGCTAACGGGGACGGAATTGAAGCCATTGGCAAAGGTTCTATCCAACTTGAAGCTGATATAAATGGACAAAAACAGTTGATAACATTGACTAATGTATGGTATGTACCAAGTATACAACGAAACTTGTTCTCTGTACTAGCTGCGCAAGATGTGCTTAAAAATAGTCTTTTTCAATCAACTGCTCGATCATGTTGTATGAAGAATAATGGTAAAGTGATTTTAGTTGGAAATCGTGAGGAGCATGGTAGTTTATATAAATTAAATGTAAAACTATTAATGCCTAAAAATGAAGCAAACCAGTTATCGACGCTACAGAATCTTCAGCTGTATCATGAACGTTTAGGGCACCAAAATTGTCGTCATGTAGCTAAATTAATACAAAAAGAGCTTGGAATAAGGCTAGATTCCAGTTCTGCTGACATTTGTGAAGGCTGTATCTTCGGCAAGAGCCACAGAAAGAAGTTCGGAGAAAGACCTAAAGCTACCAAACCTGGAGAGCTAATTGTCACAGACGTTTGTGGACCATTTTCTTATTCAATTTCAAAATTTAAATATTATGTTCTGTTTAAAGATCAATACTCAAAATATCGTTGGATCTATTTTTTGAGACACAAGTCAGAAGTACACGCTCGCTTAAAGGAATTTCTAGCTGAAGTTTATACTTCTGGACACGTTATTCAAGGGTTGTTGAGCGATAATGGAGGAGAATTTGATAACGAACAGGTACGTAATACTTTGAAAGAATTTGGAATAAAGCAAATGTTGACAATGCCATATACTCCTGAACAAAATGGTTCTGCTGAAAGAGAGAATCGTACAATTGTGGAGATGACAAGAGCACTCATGCATGCTCATAATGAGATACCAAAAGGTTTATGGGCTGAAATATCTAAAGCTGCAGTCTATATACTCAATAGAACGGGACCAACTCCAGTAGATGGAAAGTCACCGCATGAGCTATGGTATAATAAAAAGCCAAAAATAAATCATCTCAGAATTATAGGATGCAATTGCTATGTACATATCCCAAAACAGAAAAGATTGAGAAAGTTAGAGAGTAAAGCCGAGAAAGGAATACTTATTGGGTATGATGGAGATGAAGGATATCGCGTTTACGATGTGAAAAATCTAAAATTAACGAGATCACGTGATGTAGTATTTGATGAGAAATCTTTACTAGAAAAACGCAAGATTGACAAACCTCCAGAAAAACCTAATGTAGAGCCAGTAGGAAATAAAACATATGTACTACCAATACCTTCTGCAAATTGTGGAACTGATGATGATTCTCATTTAAATTCACATATAGAGACGAATGGTAGGGATGAAAATATTGAATCGTTTAGAGAAGATAATGAAAGGGATGAAAATGAAATAGAGGCAACGATGGGGCGACAACTTCGTGATCGTAGCCAGATTAAACCTCCTGAGAGATTCAATTTTGAGGAATTCATTAACGAGGCTATATCTGTTTCTGAACCATCTTCATATCAAGAAGTCTTAAACAGTCCTGAAAAGGATAAGTGGATTGAGGCAATGAATAATGAAATAAATTCATTATATGAAAATCAGACATGGGAACTAACAAATTTGCCAAAGAATAGAAAAGCACTACGATGCAAATGGATATTTAAAATTAAAAGAAATCCTGATGGTACTGTGGATAAGTACAAAGCACGTTTAGTTGTTGTTGGCTATACACAAAGGAAAGGAATAGACTACAATAACACATTTAGCCCTGTTGCTAAAATGAGCACTATTAGAGTCCTATTAAGTATTGCCGCAAACGAAGGATTAACGCTTAAACAGTTCGATGTCACTACAGCGTTTTTATATGGCACTGTAAAAGAGCAGCTGTTTATGCGTCAACCTGAAGGCTACGATGATGGTACCGGTCGTGTATGCGAACTTAAAAGAAGCTTATATGGACTAAAACAGGCACCTAAATGCTGGAATGAGTGTATTCATGACTTTCTTATGGAGTCCGGTTTCATTCAGAGTGATGCAGACCCTTGTCTTTATGTAAGAGAACGTGAAGGAAAGAAGATACTGCTCGGACTATATGTGGACGATGGATTAATAGCTGCATCAGATGAGATAGTAACAGAAAATTTCATTGAAAATGAATTAAAAGGACGTTTCAAAATAACAACTAAGGTGCCGTCCTATTTTCTTGGGTTAGAAATTGAGAGATACAGTGACAGTACTATAAAAATACACCAAACTGCATACACTAAAAAGTTATTAGAAAAATATGGAATGAGTGATTGCAAGGTTGTTGGAACTCCCATAATTAAAGATTCTGAAAAAGGAATAGATGAAGAAGAAGACAATCAAATTAGTTTTCCTTACCGACAAATTGTTGGATCTCTGGCCTATCTGATGGTTGGCACTAGGCCGGATATTGCATATGCAGTTGGAGTAGTGTCGAGAAATTTAGATGGACATAAGAATAAGAGAAATATTCAACAAGTAAAAAGAATACTAAGGTATCTTAAGGGAACTATTGATGTTGGTTTACAATACAAGAAAAATGAAAAAAGACTCATATGCTATAGTGATGCTGATCATGGTGGCGATAATACTAGTGGCTGCTCTACAAGCGGAATGCTGTGTTTGTATGCTGGATCGGCGGTATCTTGGCGAAGTACAAAGCAGACAATGGTAGCCCTGTCATCCACTGAGGCAGAGGTAGTAGCTGCTAGTGAAGTATGCCGTGAGATAGTTTGGCTCAAAAGATTATTTAATAGTTTAAAAATTAATCTTAATACACCTATTCTACGCATTGACAATGAGTCTACAATCAAATTAGCATATAATCCATCATATGAACAACACCGTAAAACAAAACACATAAAGTTAAAACACTTCTATGTAAGACAGTGTGTATCTGAAGGAGAAGTTACTATAGAACAAGTACCAACGGAAGAACAACTTGCCGATATTTTTACAAAACCTGTTTACAAGCCAAGACTAATAAAGCTATGTAATGAGTTTGGCTTGAAAAAGGAGAGGGAATGTTATGGAAGCACTTCCAGTATGTGGCACGTCTAGTGATCTTAAATCAGTGTAGTTATATATCTGTGTTTAGGTCGCTATGGTAACTAGATGTTCATATATGGTTGTTGATTGTAACATAAAATATATTATTCTTTGCTAATTCTCTTTATTCTCTTTAATAATAAAATAATATTTTAAAATTTACATTGAAATTGATGTAACAAGATAAATGGCGTATGTGCACCGCTAAATAAGTTAGCAACCAAGAAACATGCCGATACTAATTGAAACATTACTAATTAACATACATAGCCAACATATACTCTTTTTCCTCCTTATTATAAAAAGAAAAAGGTTGTCAAAAGCTTTTAAGCTACCATTGTTGTAAGACTTACGAAACGTAACTTTATTTACATAACCACTTCCAGTGGTATTCCAGTGTATTACGAAGCAGGAAGCCAGTAAAGTGATCAAAATATGTATTTTAAAAATTTAGAGCAGCATGAAACGTTCTACCAACAAAGCAGAAGGGACTGCTTTGCACAAATCCATAACAATTCCGGACACACTTCTTGATATTTATTTTAAAATAGAAACTAAATAATCAATTATACAATATTTTTTACTAACCTCCTGAGTATTTCCTTCTGGTACAGGCTCTTTGGCTGGATAGGGTTTTGTGATATCCGTTATACTAGTTGGGCCCATTTCCATATTTGTATAGGAAGTATTACCAAGGTCAGCCATACAATTATTGCCTTCTGCGCCTAAGGTTAATGATTCCACTATAGTAGCAAGATCTACAAAAAAGAAATGGTCTAATTGTAAATATAAATATTTTGTAATTTATAAAGAAGACAAAAACTATGTGTGAGTATATATATGGGTATGAAACAATTATGATACAAAGTATTTCCATAATGACGACTTAGTCTTATTTTATTATATTATTATATTACATGGTAATTACCATGTAGAGAGCTCGTGCTTGATCAACTAACACTATATACATTTATTATTTAATTAATCATATACTGTATAGGCTTTGTTCAATAAGTGTATTTTATTAAAACAGTTTTAAACTTATTAAAAGGCAGACCCTGAATATCTTTCGGTGTCTTATAATAACATTTAATGCCAAATACCATAAAAGACCTATTATTTTTTTCTAAATGATACTTCGGAAAAGCAAGTTTGAATTTGTGTCTAGTGTTAAGATTATTAAGATCGCTGTTTTTAAGAAACAGTAGTAGATAAAATGTTTGCGTATATATATATTGTGAAGCTATGGTGTAAATTGGACTTTCTTTCGCGCTTAGCCTCAAATGAGAGGCTAAGCCATTGTGCATATAAAGCTACGGTGAGAATATTTGCTTCCTTTTCTCTCTTAATGATTCACAACTTCCCATAGTATAAATCCAATAACCCTGATACCGTTTTTCCATGTTTGCACTCAGCCAAATTCTCAAACTTGTAGAACACAAATTGCAACAAAATGCTTTACACTGGGATTTTATGTTTTTTGTTCACATAGTAACAATGGTTCTTTTATTGTAATAAATATCAATTCCCCATAAATTGTAACAAAAAATTTGTAACGTTTTCAAGACATAGATATCACTATAAATTTTTTTCCACTTTTAAGACTTTTCCATTACTAACATAGAACAGAGCACTTAAATACAATTTTTTATAATTATTTACCAACTAAACCAAACCAAGCCAAGTTCAATGAAGATAGAAAGATTCAATTCACAAAATGTCAAGTATCGAAAAAACTTAATGACTTAATATTAGTATTGATAATTATCACTAACACATGTTGTATTGTATTTTACAGTTAGACCAGCTGTTTGCATAGCCTCTTATACATAATGCTGGCAAACATGGTCGCAAAAATAACGACCGATTGCCATTGAAAGAAAATAGAACAGAATAGACTATTACTTGTCAACAATTTTTTCCATTGTAGACCAATGCATTGTTGTAGGAGCAAGCTGTCAATCTCTTAGTCCATCTATCACAACAAGTTTGTCAAAATTTACCAGTGTTGATATGGTGACTGGAATTATTGATAGCGGAGAGGTCGGTAGCGTGCATGCGCGGCCGCGACATGTTGCTTGTCATCTCCTCTCCTGATATGTTGTCAGCGGACGACGCTTGCTCGGTCGACGCTACCGATACCTGTATATGAAAAATAGATCAATTCATTGCGAATTGGTTCTTACTAGAGAGTAAGTGACCAAATGCTGACAATTTTTATAAGTACAAATTCGTGGCAAATGTACACGCACTTTTCATATAAACGCATTGCCTTTACATAATTATGAAATCTAGTCTAGTAGTAATATAGTAAATTTACTTTAATATAGTAAATTTAGTAGTAATTCGCTAAAAAATCTCAAGAAACTGAACCAATGAATGTTCAGGATTCAGTTTAACAGTGTCAAATAATTTTACAATTGTTTGGAATAGACAAAATGTTTAAAAAGAATTAGCAAAAAGATCTATTAAGTCGGTACTATTTTATATTTACAGCACATACTTCGGAATGTAAACTAGAAAAGTAACCAAATGAAACTCAATGATGACTTCAAACTTCAAATAAATTCATGTACAAAATCATTATTGTTAGTTGTCATATAAACAAAGCATTTTTTATTATCGCACGACATATGAGCTCACAGTTTTGAGCGGATACAGGTACAATATGGTCCATGAATACGATCAACCAAAAAGAATGATTTACTCTCGGCAGTTGACCGTAATAAGTCCTCTCACTAAGTGCTTTTCACGCTACGTTTTAAAGACATCACGGGTCCATTCCACTTTTTTACGGTATGGTTCACATAAGTACGTAATTATAGAGGTTCTGGAGTTTAGCTCACCTCAGTGTCTCCTACGATATAGACAGCTTGTCTCTGCAGAGCATCGAGAGCATGTAGGAGGTACTGAACAGAGCCATCCCTGAGATGCGAGCAGTACTCCACAAACGACCTTACTTGCCTTATAACAATCACAAGATACCTGCTGATCAACCGCGGTGGCGTCGGGTAGGCTCGGCGTGGAGTGGCTCTTGCGGCCGTGCCGGCCCCCCTCGCCGCCCGCGTTGCCGCCGCACACTACCTTCAGGTCAAACTTGCCCTCCGCACCCATGCGGTAGGAATTCCTCCCTCCATGATCCCACCTATTATAATGAACACCCGGTTTATAAACAAACCCATGAATATTTAATATACCTATCTAGAAATTTAATAATTAAGACTTCAATGAATTTCTGGGGGGTAACAAACTCCAATGTATTAAAATTATAGTAGTATTCGCTATATATGTATAACCCGCCGACGTAAATGTGCTAGTATATTAACATGACATCCTTAGTGTGAAACCTATCAAATTCAACAGTTTATATAAAACAAACGTATTATGATTAAGGTCTATTTAAACCCCCAAAGCAGCTTATTAAAATTAGATTAAATCATTTGCCTTCTAAGCATATTTTAAAACATACGTAAGTTTTAAAATATGCCTAGAATATAAGTGATATTTAAAAAATTGTAGTGTACAAAATTACTGTACACATCTCATAATTTTTTTTATAATAGTTCGACATGTGATTATAAAATTCATAGACAGCATGGGCACAATATGGTCAACAATAAATTTTTTCCATCAATAATCGGCAACAATATTAAATGTTTTTACACAATAATTTAAAGAATTTTAGGTATAATCAGAGAAAGATGCATATATCTGTGGTACAGTTACCAGTGATGTGTAGTTTTCTTCACTCGGCGAATATTACTACTACTTGTGTAAGAGTGACACGTTTTAGTGTCAAGTTTGTAGGCCGCTCACGTTGTACAAAAAGGTCAGATACTCTAGACAAGTGGCAAGCGAATTCGTCGATGGAATCGACATCACTAGCGAGTCCGTGAAACAGAATGAGATAGCAACGCCGGATGACTCATTTCAACTCACTTCTGTAATTTTGTACACTACAACTTCTGTGACGACGACATTGCGTGGTGTCCGAAGCAAGAAGCGGCATAAACGGAGCTCACCTAACATCGACCCAGCCGTTGTGCAGGTCCGAGGTGACGGTGCCCATGGCGGGCTGCGGCCCGTCCTGGTCGCGCCACTTCCAGTCGGGCCCGCGCACCACGCGCGCGCCCGCGCACAGCCCGCGCGCGCCGCGCGACCAGCGCCGCGCCCGCGCGCCGCCGCCGCCGCCGCCGCCACCGCCGCCGCCTACACTCACACCCGCGCCCGCGCCCGTGCCTGTGCCTGTGCCACCGCTGGTGCCGCACTGACGAGGTACGCTGTCGCATACGCTCATCACCTACCACGCCGAAGGAAGGGTTGCCAATCATTGGGAATAAAAGCCCGTTACGAGCTTATAAACAAACATAGCTACTAACCATCGTAGTTATTCCCTACGAGGCAGCTGACCCGACTTCAATCTCACCTATCATCCCTCACTGGTGCTTGCATTATCGGCATACGCTGACAGCGTTACCAATTCATTTTTATCTCACTAGTGCCCAACTAATGTATACAGATAATCCAGGTGAGGTTACCATTCTATTACTATCCATAAAAAAAAATCTATGACGTTGTTTAGTCTATTTGTATGATATTCTGTTTATCGTATAGTATACAAAAGTTACCGCCTGATATTTTCGCCGATATTTGAAAATAAATTCATAAATATTTCCTGCTAAACGGAATGTATGAGACATTCCTCGTTTTTTTTTTTTCGAGTTATTATATTTATATTATTGAAGGCCATGATATCGTTAAATTATAACTTACATTCCCGTACAGCTCCAAGCCCGATAACGATAGATAGTGGCTTTGTCCACTAGCATTCTTGCCGTTCTGTTGTATCCGCAAGTAACGGTATGGAGCATCGGCGCGCAAACGCCAAGTTGCTGTACTGCCTGGCTCTTGTAGAGCTTGCTCGTCGTTGTGGGCTAACAGAGTACTCCAAGTTACACCGTCCATTGACATCTAATACAAAATATAAACATGTTAATGACATACTACCAAATATTTCAAAATACTTTGTGGAACATCAATGGATGTTATCTTAAACTTACTTGGAAGAGCCAATTCCTAAGCGCGGAACGTCCATAACCACGTGCGTGGCGGAGAGTATATGCTGTTGGTATAATATGTAATCCAAGGTCCAGCGCTATGAATGCACGTCGATCATCGTTTGTGTGAACGTTCAAGGGCTCTGGTGATCTGGACAGTGCATCTTCAGCACGTCCGTACGGTAATTGGCGCCCGTCGGATGACCACACACAAACTAAGTTATGCGCACCAGGATTCACCCATTCACATGTACCACCGTTACTGCCGATAAAGTATAGAACCCCATTTTCGTCAAAGTCATGCTGTAACAAAAAAATAATTTGTAATTAGATACTCGGAATGAGCCAAGACTAATTGATAATTAAATAAACTAAATGGCACTTAGCATTACAAAAAAATTAGATTTATCATATCAATGGTAATTGGATTTACCATTCACACAGTGTTTGTGTATGAGAAACAATTACGAGAATTTAAGATGAAGGGGTGTTAATAAGACTAATTGAGAACAAATGATTTTTAGAAATTTTGTTAGTCTGTCTGTATATTTATTCCAGTATCACATAAAAATTTATATTTTTATAGTTTTCCTACTTCTGAAACTACACATATATGTAACGAGCTAAAAGCTAGTTTGACCATAAAATACAACTTACATCATAAGTAAAAGTGATCGGTGCTTCTGCTTTAATCTTCTGTACGAAATTAAATGTGGAACGATCCATATCATACCACTGACGCGCCACAGATTTGGCGAGAAACCTCTCTAACTGTCGAACGGTCGTTAAGGCCTCTACTTTAAGATTGCGCGCAGCATTGTTTCCATTATTCGTACTCGTTTCATCAGTAGAATCATCACTGGCTCGTTCAACACGCAATCTGAGCATAAAAAGTTGATTCAAAAGATAAAATTATTATGTGACATTTAATGTGTATCTGTAACTAGAAAGTTTGTATGAATAGATTGATAAATGTGTTAGAAGCGAAAGAGAAAATATATATTTAGATCGGAATATTTTGTTTTTTTTATATAACTTAGAATGGCAAACAAACTGACGGCCCACCTGATGGAAAGTGGTAACCGTCGCTTATAAACATGTGCAGTACCATAGGTATAACAGAGTATACTGTTTCGCCCATGCGTTGTCATTCCTGAAAGCTTATGTGTTATTCTCTGTACCCTGTAAATTTACCGCCATATCCCACCCTTGAAACCGAAACATATCTATGTAAACACAACTGCTTTACGGTTGAAACACGAATGGGACAGAGGTACACAAGTAAACGACTTTTGTACGAAGTTTCCTTCTGGTAATTTGCCGTTCCATTATCTTTAATCATTACATTGAGGCTTGATACACTAAGGTTTCACTTTAGTATCTTAGTATATAAAGTAGGCATGGGTAATAACAGTACCACTTCTATATATCAATATATTGGGTTCTTCAGAAACCAATTTATATATATCGGATTTCAAAATAATGTAGGAAAAAAGGTCATCAATCACTTCGATCGGGCTCTTCATTTCGATATCATATATTGAATAACCGATATTTTATATGTCCATTATTCGGGCCAATATATAGATACCGTAACTATAATATATGAATATTACTACATATCACCTCCAAATAATAAGATACAATAGTAAGTGGTGTGGTGGTGTGGTGGTGTGGTGGTGTGGTGGTGTGTCAGTGTGTCGGCGTGTCGGTGTGGCGGTGTGTGCGCGGCAGGTACCTGATCCTCTTGGTGAGGTGGTGCAGCGCGGCGGCGCCGGCGGGCGGCGGCGGCGCGTCGCCGGCGGGCGCGTGCACGGGCAGGCGCTCGACGCTCTCGAGCACGGCCACGAGCCGCGCCGCCAGCGCCGCGCCCGCGCGCATGCCGTCGCGGCACACCCACGCGCGCACCACGCGCTCGCGCTCCGCCGCCTGGCCTGCCGCGTCTGCCACCCAATACCATCATAGTGATGAAACCCGGTTTCGCACGGATAAATTAAATTTATTTCGAAAATAATATATACTTTTGTTACTAGCTGTCAAAGTAGCTTTATGTAGGTGAATTTTTTTTAAATTGATCGCGTTGTTTTTTAGTTTATCCATTACAAAGAAACATACAAATCTCTCCTCTTTATAATATTAGTATAGATTATAAGTATGATGCATAGATAAGAAATATGTCAGTAGCCTGGGTTATAGATGAAATTATTAGTGGTACATTGTGTACCCACCATTAGCTTGAGGTGATAAAACTTGCAACAATGACGGCGCCAATCCAGAAGACTGCAGTTCGTAAGCAGACAAGAGTTCATCACCGCAAAGAAGCTCCGCTAGTTGATCCAAAGCTTCATTTAACTCCTTTTGCCAACCTTCTGTTACATAGAAATAAATATTAACATGACACTTTTAGATTTTAAATAAATTACATATTACGACATTATATTTCATCACTATTCAGATAAATGCTCTTTTTTATACAGCGAAACCTTAATTTTACTAAATACACAACAAGTGAGAAAGTACTAGTTCAAATTATTAAATTAACAATTAAAAAATGGTATAAATATAATCAGGTGCGAGTTGAACTTATACCGCCGAATTACGTACATAAATCCTTAACTAATATTATAAATGCAACTGTTTGTTTGTTACGCTTTCATCTAAACCGCTGAATAGATTATGATGAATTTTGGTATAGAGATAGATGGGACCCTGCAAATCCCGGTGACGTGGACGAATTCGCGAGTAAAAGCTTGTATGAAAATAAATGATATCTTAGTTTGGGTTATATTTGTGGTTAAAAATTAGACAATATTACCAAGCTTGGAATTTATAATTTTTGAAAAACGATGCTGGTTCGAAACTTTGTTGTATTTTTCCTATAATATTCACATATACCTTTATAATTATAAACCGTAATTATTTCTGTTTTTTGCTTCTCAAACTGCGGAAACAAGAAAAGGAATTTTTATTTCTTAATATTTTCAATCATAAACAAAAACCATTATGTAGCAAAAAAATAAATAGATATCAATTTTAAAACGTACAAATAAAACCCTTTTATAATAATGCCCCACTTGAACTAGTAAGGACATTACTATAAAAGAACTTCAGTAGCAAAAAAATTCTCGATTATTTCCACTGCAATATTGTGGATCGAGAATATGTAAAACATTCCAAATTTGAAATAGATAACGTTAGTCGTTATTATAACAAACGGCAGAATAAAATCGACACCATAAGGGTTCCTTGGTACTTTTTTAGTACGGAATTTTAAAAATGGCAAAATTTGAGATGCAAATCGAAGCATACTACAACTACTACGCAGAGTACGGAGTATAGAAGAATAAGCACTAGAGAGCGTTGTGTGTCAGTGTGCGTGTGCGTGTGTGCGTGCGTGCGTGTGCGTGCGTGTGCGTGCGTATGTGGGGTTGTGCGTGCGTGTGCGTGCGTGCGTGTAGAGTGAAGTGCGGACGGACCGGTGGGCATGGCGGCGAGGCGCTGCATGCGCGCGAGCAGCACGCGCAGGCGCGCGACTGGCGGCCGCGGCTGGCGCGTGGCGGCGCGCGACAGGTGGCGCGCGTACAGCGTGCGCGCCCTCTCCGACACCTGCGCGCGCACACACATATACACTCAACATTTTTCAATATTATTGACTGATTACTTTAAAAGTGTTGTGTTGACGTTAATCGTAGAATACATTGCATCTAAATCTACCATTAAAATCTTTGCACCTCCTTAATATTTATCTTCGACATTTTTCAAATATGTTTTTGTCATCATAATTAAAATTTTCTTTGACAGTTAAATAAATATATTATCAGATGATTAATGTTTTAGTTCGTGGACAGAGTGCTTTTTAAATAATCAATCAGAAACATTGAAAATTCTTCAATTGTCTTTGAAATTTATAGTCTCTTGTTGTAAAACTATGATGTAGGTATGTTGTATTTATATTTTATAAATGACTGTTTGTTGCTATAAATAAATAAACAAATTAAGAGATATTGCGTCATTGTCACAATTCGTTATTATATAATCGTTATTAGAAAAATATAAAGGTCCAGCCAGAGGAGTATTATATTAATGGATCAATACCTTAGAAATATTTTATACATTATTAATCCTTTGAATTCGGGAGGGGCGTTCCATGCAATCGTAAACAATCTATACATTTTTCAATATTTCTGGTTGATTATTTAAAAAGTGCTCTGATAGTAAACGAAAAAGTTAACAGTAAATTGCAGATAAATCTATAATTAAAATTTTTATATCTACTTCATATTTCACTTCTGAAGTTTACACACATACTTTTTCACCATCATAAATCAAATTCTTAGTGGTAATTTTAAAGAAAGAAGGTATAATGAATGCAAATCAACATTTCATTTTGTATGAATAAAATACTGTAATCTCTCCTATAACACTGAAGATTCGTGCCGCGTTATTGGAAAAGCGTTGTGGAAGTATTCCTGTATAACGCGCTTGTACGACCCTGTATAACGCGTTATATATATTCTTTATTGCACTAAAACATACAGTAACAACAATAAGTTAATAACAATATTAGCAAAGGCGAACTTATCTCTAAAAGAGATTTCTTCCAGTCAACCTAGAGCAGTGGCATAAGAAGTGTGTGAGTGGGCAGTAGTAATGCAAGACAGAAATTATGTACAAATGATTAACGTTTAACTATATATTGAAATATGTATGTTTTATTAAATACAAACTAAGAACCACCGACATCTTTTTTTTAATAGAATGTTCTATCCCCGCGTTATATGAGACTTGACTTAGAATGGCAAACAAGCTGACGGCCCACTTGATGAAAAGTGGTAACCGTCACCTATAGACATGAGCAGTACAATGGACATAACAGAGTATACTGTTTCGCCCATGATTCCCCCCATGGGTTGCCATTCCTAAGGACTCAGGTGTTATTCCTCTGTACCCTGTAAATTCACGCCATATCCCACCCTTCAAACCGAAATACAGCCATGCAAACTTTACGGTTGAAACACGAATGGGACACACCCAAGCAAACGACTTTTGTACAAAGTCTCCCCCTGGAGGTTATAATCGACAAATAAAAAATATATCATAATACCTGTGCTTTCAGTGCTTCGGTTTTTGCCGAGAAGCGGGACCGGCTATGATTCATATTGGAGGGATCGCTCGTGACAAGTCTACGATTCGCCCAACCGCTGGCTAACTCTGGACCTAATAAAATTATAAAAAACAGGGAAATAAATAAAAATATCATTCGTAAATTTGTTGCTTATTTTTATAGTAAAGTATGTACCTAAAAATGTTTCAGCTGTGAACGAATGCTTTGTTCCTCGATTGGATTCAAATATAAAGCCTGGCAAATCCTCTCTTAATATAGTAGTTTGTTGCTGTCCATCTGTATTATGTATTTGAAGTTCCTTTTCTCTGTAAACAATAATTACATTCATTTTTATTTTTCTAATTTTAATATATTTTAATTCATAACTGTCTTATATAATATTTATGTTTCCTTTACTTACTTTTTGCATGATAATGCCCAGTTACCTAAAATAAGTTTTGTTGATCCTGGTTTTGAAAGTATCGGTTGTGGGACAGAATTTTTTACGGAAGCCCTTGCCCTTTGGAGTTTATCTATAAATTCGCCACGGTTTTCTGCAATTAACAAATTGAAATGTCCAATTTATATAAATATTAAAACTCTAATATTATTAATGCAATTTAAGCCTACAAAGTCCTTAAAATATAAATAAAATTAATATTAAGCTAAATACGTCTCCACTCAAAATGCTAGCGCCATAATATGTAGTTTTGCCGCGGATTATCAAAACATTTTATTGACAATATTATAGATCTACGCGGGAATTTCATTAATCTGTTGAGCAACGAGCCGCATGCCGACAGAGTCTTTCATTCTCCGCGCGAGATCTTCCGTGAACATCTGATCCACAACGTTTACTACATCATTTCTAATTAAATGCGAAAAAGGAGATGGCCCGCATCAACAATCCATGTACAGTATATATATACACTATGCTCGACATTGATTAACAAAGGTGGTATGTGGTAATAAAATTACAGGGTATAAAGGCATAACATCATAATTCCCAAGAACGACAATGCATGAGGGCTACCATGGGATTAATAGTGTATTCTGTTTATGCCTAAAGACGACAGTTACCACTTTCTATCAGGTGGGCCATCAGCTCGTCTACCACTCTAAATATCATAAAAAAATTGCTACAGATGCAGATCGGCACTCCCATTAAAGTTGCATTAACCTAATATCATATGTCGTCACCAAGCTTAACATATAAAAATCCCGTGCCAAGATGTTCGTTTACGCCAATCTTCAAAATCGCCAAATCGATTTTAATATTTTTTTTATAATTTGCCACACCACCTTGATATATAGAATACTTTTATCCTAGTAAGAAAAATGGAGCTAGGAGGAGAAAAAATCACGCTTACCAGGTGAGCTAATAGGAATATACAAGTTACCTGTATTATCGGTCTGGTGCTCCGGACTGCCGCTGGAGTACATGGTGGCGAGCTTCCCGTCGAGCAGGAAGCGGAACCAGCCGTTGCTGCCGGTGCTGAGCTCGAGCGCGGCCGCGTCGCTCCACACGTAGAGCGCGTCTCGGCCGCGGCACAGCGACCACTCGCCCCACGAGTACGCCACGCCCGCCGACAGGCACGATGCATCCTCGCCGCTTCCTGACCACCAATGGCAATATTCATGCCTCACTCTTCATGATCACTTCAATAAATATGTTTTTAATTAAAAAGTTCACGGCTCGTTTAAATATTTAGTTGTTATCGATTTTTACTGTAGAAGCAGTACGGCCCTAAGAAGGGAGAAAGGGTGAGCGACGCCTGGGGATGCTATGATTAAAAAGGATCACTAAGGTCGAAGAAAGAAAGATCAATCCAAAAAAAAACAACAAAGTTTTTTTATTATTCATCTGTTTTTGTTTATGCAACTTAGAATGGCAAACAAACTGACGGCCCACCTGATGGTAAATAAACTGGTATAGTACATTACTGCAGCGGCCAGCAACTGAGGCATTGTTGGACGAACGTGCAAATGTGGGCCGAAGCGTAGCCGAGGCACACATACGTGAGTCCATCAATGCCTAGTTGTAGCCAAGGCTTGTATAGTACTTTTCTCAAACAATGCGCGGAAATAAAAAACACTATTTTACTTTTTAAGTTCAATGACGAACAACAAACAATAATAATTTTTCACGCGTCATAAAGCTTGTTTTTTTTTCAATAAACAGCTTTCTATTTGCAAGCCAGTTCGAAATTTAAATAAAACCTTTGATTAGTTACCTCCTTGGTAGCCAAGTTTCGAAGTAAACGGTCACTCTATTTTTAAATTACAAGACAGATATGAGTTTACATGGTAATTTATCTGGCCACAAAACACGACAACTATGGATTTTCATACAACTTTTGCCGGCCGCTGCCCGCATGTATCTGGCCAGTACGGCAATTTTGATTTATCTCTAAGAAGATTGTCAAAATAATGCTCACATTTGCAAGCATGTTTGAGAAAAAGTACATTATTAGTTCCACTGTAATGTGTACCAATAACAATTACATAAAACAATATCAATAATATTAAAATGTAATACAACCATAATTAAAGTCATCATTTAGTTTGTACCTGCAACTACAGTTGTTTCACCGTCAGACGAGAGCAGTGTCGCAGGCGCTGCAGCTAATGCCTCCACTTTGCTAAACACGCCAAGGCGCGCGAACTGTTCCAAATATATATCTGCAGCTTTCACCATAAGTTCCTCTGCGATACCCAAAACTATCAGATGTCCATCATCGTCATCCTAATGAAAAAAAACTAAGTTTTTATACTATTTTTCTAACATTTGCCGGCAATTTTTACGTAGGTAGAACTGGATATTATTCATGAGGATAACACAATATTACAGCCCCGGCGTAAAACGTGCTCAATTATAAAAATGGTTTTGCAACACAATATATACTCATAATTAAGCTTTTAAATCGTTAGTTATATCTACTCAAAATTTTAAAATGTTGCTTAACAGTTCTAACAACATTTTTGCAGTAATCATAAGAGATACAAATTTATTAATATATTTATTTAGATACCATATTTTATTAAGTCACATGAAAAATAACAAAAATAAAAACAGGATAGGTAGCACAAAAAGTAACAACCAATAAAGAATAATTAAAACACATAAAAAACACAAGACAAGATTGTTTGATGCAAGTAATTTTCGATGGTGTGATGTTTTTACAAAAATGTGGATGCATTTAATAGCAAATGACAATGTATATATGTGTATAAGAAATTATAGTCATATCGCTAAATATTAGTATCAACAGTATTATTCAATGTGACTACATACAGTTCATCATCATCTCATAGCTATTGAAAGCCGGGCATCGAGTGTGTCATCACCTTATGGATAACAAAGTAATTAAACGTATTTTAAAAAAAAAAAGTAAAAACATCTGCATTGTATATTTTAATATAATAATACAAATTCAATACGTTTCGTTCGATATCCGTATGATGCTGACACGAGGTATATTGCGGCTCTAAACTTTCAAAATAATTGACACTTCTTTTACATACAACCACAGTGCAAATATAATGAGTTTTAAATAGAAAGTTTCGAGCCACAATATGAATTATTGACGCGATGAATGAGCGAACGGAGAGCACTCGTAAAGTCGGGTATCATCACACCATCGGAACATTACCGCAGGCGGGCGGATATAGCGGCTGCGCAGGTACCGCGGCGGGCCGCGTCGCGACACGCCCACCTCGCCCTGATTGCATTAGTTACGGCTATATTACACTATCAAATGTACGGGATTTGTTTCTCATATTATAATAGCTCGACAGGTGATCATTCAATCCCTAATGAGCGCACCAACGGTACGAACCACAAATATAAAGATGTATGTTGATGAGACAATTATATCCTTCAATGCACACGTTATGCCAAATTATTACATACCCAAGTTCATTTTTAATTTACTACAAAAATTAATTTTTATTTAAACAATCAATCAATTTATTAAATTGGTGACACATTTTCAATATTAGTACATTTTTAATATACTTTATCAATAAAGACAGGAAACTAATTATCGTGGTTAGTCAGTATTTGTAATTCTATTATATACTTAATAGAGTAATATGACGCTTTCAGTCTTCACTTGTATAGTGCTATACTTAATCATACATAGATGATATAACATCTCAATGAAAATACGAGGTAAATATGAATTCATAAATTTAGGAGATATTTTGAAACTTTTCGTTTTTACTCGTTTACTATATATATACTATTCTTATTTAATAATTTATTCTACAATTTCTTTCCGTTCTTAATTTAAAGTAACAGAAATGAAATAGAAAATTTTGATATAGGACAATGATATATTGTGTAATAATTATAGGCTGTAAACAAATGCAGTGTAATAAGGTAAACCATATACAGGTCTTCATATTGTTTATGATTTTGATATCATTTCAGTTAAAGGTCAAGAGTACTATAATGATCAATTACTTTGATTTTTACTTTTATCACTTTAATTACTTTTTGTCACGATAGCTTCATAGACATTACTATTATTTAAAGATCAAGGGTTATGACTGCAGTCCTAGACTCTTCCAACTGCATCCTTTTTATAGTATTAAAAAAGAATATGTTTTTGTGTTACAGGCTAGAAAAGAAAAAAGCTGCAATTAAATATATAATATATATATGGTATAGCGTGCGAGTGGTGTAAGTGTAGCCTGTAGGTACTGTACAATGCGCTCGGTACCGACCACGTTGTCGAGCACGGCGGCGATGAGCTGCGTGAGCAGCGCGGCGGTGTGGTGGTGGTGGTGATGCTGGTGGTGGTGGTGGTGGTGATGGTGGTGGTGGTGGTGGTGCGGGTGGTGCGGGTGCGGCGCCAGCGACAGGCGGCGCAGCAGGCGCGCGGGCGCGTAGTGCACCATCTTGCGCACCAGCGACAGGCACGCGCGCCGCACGCCCGCGCCGCCCGCGCCCAGGTACCGCGCGCAGAACACCGCCACCAGCCGCCTGCCGGCACGCATTCACATTCACATACACTGCTCCCACTGCCACGTTTATTTACTAAGCATGCGCCACATGGCTATCCGCCGGCCACAGGGCCCCAGGTCACATTCAACGTGACCACTACTCATATTATTGAAAGAGAACATGTATCTGTATCCTATTAATATTACAGATAAAAAAAAATTTAAAAGATGTTTGGATGTTTAGAACTCGACGCTTAAACAGCTGAACAGATTTAAATTAAGTTTGGTACACGAATAGGTTATATTTTAACACGTACGATTCTTTATATACTAATTCTCACAGAAAAGACTGCGGGAATCAGTATATAAATAACGAGACGTGTTGAAGAAAGACCAAATTAAAAGTCCCCATAAACGGTGAACGTGTATGATTAAATTGATGAATATGGGGGAAGTGAAAGAAGTATGTTTAAATCAGAGCATTTAACATTCCATTGTATCTACCTACCTCGATCGGACAGGACAATAATAATAATTTAAAAACAACACTAACTCGAGATAAATTGTAGCCATTTCCTTGTCTCCCGTTTCTGGAAAATCTTCATCATTGGAGGATGTCGGTGAATCATGATTCCCCACTACAAGCCATTCTCCAGGGCACTGCAATATAGCAGCTACTTCTCTGTGTCCTGTATCAAAAAATAAACATGCAGGTATCTATTACGTTATTTTACTTTTTTTTAAAGCTGCCAATAACTTTTAAATACCAACCTTGATCGTGACGTTCTCTTGCTTTATCTAAAGGAGTTTTTCCGTCTTCGTCACGAAGATCGGCATTAGCGCCGTAGCGAAGAAGCACCTTTGCAATAGCCGGCCGACCGAAACACGCCGCATAATGTAATGACGAGCTGCGTTGGCCACGATTTACGTCCGCACCTACATAATATAATACAAAACAATCTAATAACTGAAAATTATTCTAATACGAGTAAATATTTATTCCATATTTAACATTCTTATTTTAAAAAGTCCTACATTCTCATATCAACACAAAAGTGACAAAATCGTATCAACAATGAGTGGAATTTAATTTTTATAAAATTTATTTTTTTGTCATATAATATAATATAGAAAAAAATAGTGCCGCCTCAATACAGATTGGAGTTTTATATATATCCATAACACTTACGAGCAACCCAAAATAACTAACTACTGCCCATTACTAAAATCTCTTCCATATTTGACCATATAATACAGTTTGAAATCCATTTGCGCCCATCAAGTACTACCAATAACATTATTAATCCTAACAATGACACTAGCTATGAGCTATTTTATATAACAACTGAAAATATAACTCGCCTTTTTCACAAAGAAATTCGACCATCTCACGAGTGCCGAAAGCGGCTGCCCAATTTAGTAGAGTTTGGCCGACGTCATCTGTAAAATTGACATCTACGGCCCCATTGGACACCGCTGTAAGGAGAGCATCAGTGTCTTTGCCTCGAATACAGTCAATCAGTTGACGGTGAGATTTATCCCCACGCAAACCTCCACCCCCCGCCGCCGCGCCGGCCGCAGTACTACTCGAGCCCTCGCCACTGGCACCGCTGCTAGTACTTGAACCAGAAGCGGAAGCACCACCACGAGAGGATCCACTATAAATTACATTTAAAATAATATGTAATTTGAGTTTATATTTAAGATGAGAACTCATTCTCTCATAAAATTAATAGTCTATATTAGAAACAAATTATATCGATTTGAATAATCGTAAATTTAGCATGTCAATATATCAGTACAATTTACAAGAACAGCCTATTAAAAATCTCACAGCTTGCTTGCTGTATGGGTTTCTTTCCATAAGTGCAAGATTTTTTTAAAGATTTCTTCCTTTACTCATACAGCAAGCTTCCTAATAATTCAATTTCATATATTATGAATAATATACGTACGTCTGTATAGCATGACGGCCCTCGCATAACAGAACGAGTAACAAGTCCACGAGACGCATACACTCGAGGCACCAGCGCTCATCTGCTTGCACGGCTGCTTCAATCGCGGAACACAATTCTAGACGCACCAAATCCTAAAAATAACAATACAAAAAAACTAGATCCAATATCTATTTTTATTAATGATTATGTAAAAAAAATATATTAGTAAAAATAGTATTAAATAAATAATTGGATTAACATGTCCAAAAATGTATACTAGTATAAAAAAGTCATTAAATTTTAGCTCTACAATAATAGGAATTAATACCTCACACTCGTGAAACTTTTGTCATTTTGAGCACAGTTTTATAGATACCACGACGATACTGTACTTAGTACTATATCAAAATTTTGTGAAACAAGTAAACGTTACTTTATATGATGTATTGTAACATATATAATGTTACGTATTGTATTATTAGGTATAGTATGAGAATATGAGCACCATTTCTTATCGAGTAGCGATGTTCTAATATTCGTAATAGTTCGCTGTTCATACATTTTTTCATTCAGGCAAATGAAGAATGATTTCTTTTTTATTGTGTATTAACCAAAAATATGCAGGCACTAGCTCTTCCACTAACACGTCCCACTTAATAAGCATCCTCATGTAGAAACTAACATGCGTAATCTGCGCAGATCCACGGCAAAGTGTAGAAAGTAGACTGACTGTTGTAGAGACTGAAGGAGCGAGGCACTTGTCATCACCACTTTCGGTGCTGCCTAGTCTCCGTACCAGTTCTTCAATTAGACCTGTAACACAAACGCATCATCAAAATAGATGAATAATTAAAATTATAGAAAGGAATTATAATTGTTATGAATTATATAGAATTTTTCAAACTTAAAGATGCTTAAAGTTAAAACATTCAAGTTTTAGAGAATATATCTTTTAAAACTGGTGACATTGATTTTCTATATTTCTGCGTTATACATAAATTACTTAAAATTACATTACTTAAAAAGGGCTATGTAATAAAATTAAACATTAATTATGCAATATTATTACATCAATAGTAATTTATAACTTTGGAACGTAAAAATAAAAATATAAAATGTTTAAAAAATATTAAATTAATATTTGGTGTAGTGCCCATAACATCTATGATCTTAGAACCGAGTGCTAGAACATGAATTTCGTACACATTACATGGTGTCATTATAAAACACTATAATGAGTGTAGTGTTCAAATTTTTATAGTTCAAAGATTTAAACAAAATTAAATGTTACTGAATGACTGAATGACTGGCCCATTCTACATTGGTAGAATGGGCCAGTCCTTTCTTTCGACAGAGGCGGCTAAGAGAACACATTGAGCCGACAGTCGGCGAGAGATACAATGTTGTATGCTATCGCCAAGAGATTATTTTAGTACTAATGAGATAAGAAATTCTTTGTCGTGCTATTTTGGACGTTTTTTAGTTGTATGTGTAATGTATGTGTGATTCTATTCCATATTTTCGTATGATATATAGTAAAACCACGTACGTACCTTCGAGAGGTGATCAGTTACAAAAAACCTATCGCAGTGTACAGATTGTTCGTAAAAAGAAAATTGAATTTAGTTTTGGAAATAGTTATTGCCCATAACATTGAATATGTCCGACGCTGGCCACACGGAAAATTCTAGTGCCGGTCCCCAGGGACCGACGCTGGCCACACGGAAAGTTCGCTGCCGGTCCCTAGGGACCGGCGCCGGCCACACGGAAAGTTCGCTGCCGGTCCCCAGGGACCGGCGCCGGGTCCAACGTGTTAAGGACCGACGAATGGACAGCAGCATCCTTAAAACATCACCAAAACCTAGCTGCGGTTGCCAACCCGCCTGCCAAACGTGGCAACTACTGGTAAAACTTCCCTTATAGGAAAGGCCTGTGCTCAGCAGTAGACAGTTAACGGCTGATGTGATAATGATGATGACTGACGCAGTTATACCTACATAAATTATACTATAGAAAATATCCTATGTTTTAATGTAGTCCATTTTTATTGATTAATTATATAAACAAACCATAATAAGCCGTTAACAGGGAACATACGCCTCCCCATTTGTGGGGGTGGGGGGGTTTGCCACTTAAATAAACAAATATTTAAACATATTAACAAACTTTCACATTCATTATATCAGTAAGAATAATACGAAAGCAAAATTATAATAGGGTTTAATAGTACGGGATCATCACAATAAATAATAACATAACAAAACATTTACGTTTAGGTACTTCTCTATAATTATTATAATTTACATATTATTATTTTAAAACAACAATGAAACAAAGCACCCATTATGTAAGATTGACACACAGAACTATGAATAGCTAGTAAATAAATTTCAATGTGCATATATTATTCTTAATTTATAAATCCGAAATTTTGTAAGGTCGTTGGATAGATAGACGCAAAGCCACAGAATATTCGCTCGTATTTAGTTAGGTTAGTTGCTGTAAACAAAACAACTATATTTGAGCGGATACATCTGTGTTTCTTAAATTTTATTTGCATGAATATTCGAATAGAATACATCCTTTTTTGCATACTTGTTACATACTAGCGACCCGTCCCGGCTTCGCACGGGTGGACATTTTTACAAAATTTTACACTTTTTAACATAATATCTTTCTAATGGAATATACCTACGATTTGAAAAATTCAAAATGTAATCTGCAGGTATTGAAATAATTTTGAATACAAAATTAGTTGGATAAGAATTAATAAATAGGTATGAATAACATGTACAACGCGACAGCGTTATTTTTTCTTGTTCTATGACTTATTAAATTCGTAATATCTGTTGAATGGAATATCCGATTTGAACAATTCAAAAAGTAATCTATATAAATTGAACCTGTTTTGAAAACAATATTATTTATTTAAATCCTTATGATTTAAACAGAAGTATGAATAACATGGTGTAATTTTGGTCGGTATATCTAACAACTTTTAAAATGTAAAAAGTGTTTATTGTGACATAACGATAATAGTTGGACATATAGTGTCGGGAAGTTTTTTGTAGTTATTGATATTTTCTTCAATATTGTAGAACATACTTTTATTCTATCACCAACAGTTTCCGCAGCGCATGCGACAAAAGATATTTTATAGCATTTTTTACAACTTGAGTTACGTTACAAAAGTTTTGGTAAGGATCCCTAATCTTTTCTAGTAATAAATATAGCCTACGTTACTCAGGATGAATGTAGCTTTCTAATGGTGAAAGAATTTTTGAAATATTGCTCTTTTTAAGATCCCTCATATATTTTTTTCTTAAATATCTCACATATACATACATTGCTTAGTTACAAATCTTCTATATAAGTTACATTTTTATTGCATTTAAAATCTAATACTAACCATGTTCAGCAAGCGGGGCAGGGTCGGCATGGGCACGAGCGAAGCGGTCCGCGAGCGACGCAAAGCAGCGTAACGCAGCATCGGCTACGCGCGCGTCACTGTGCCGCAACAGCGCAGATAGTGAACACACCGCGTCCCCAACACGTGCATCGCCAGGCTCCATTTTACCACAAACCCTGTCCAATTTAAAAATGCACATGCCTGTTATTTTCACATAATGGATAAAAGTATCTTAACTGTAATTTCAATAGAAATAAATATTTTTAAAATATAATAAAGTGACCTCCATAAAAGAATTGTTGTTCTATCACGTGAGTATATTGAAATCTTCTATAAATAAAATAACAACCTTTTACAATAAAAACATTGGAACTAATTTTTTTTTTTTAATATTACCATATACTATGTTTTTTTTTAGAATTTTTACTTCTTAATTGTACTAAAACTGTTACTGACCTAGACACAACAGCCATAGCTGAGTGAAGTGTGTCTTTATGGACAGATGTACCATGATGTGTGATAAAATGTAAGACAGCAGGAAGTCCTCCACCTTCCCACACGGCGCCTGCTTCACGAGTGCAAACAAGCTCAAGAACCTAGAAATATATGATTAGTTTGTATTTATTGACAATGTCATCTGCAAATTATTACAGATAAGCTTTGAATATGTAATCTATATATGTATATAAAACCATTTGTCCTAACTAATTCATCAACGCACAGCCTAAACTGCCAAAATTTTACTCTATCATCACTTCATCCATTTTATCCACTAAAGATTTTCATAAATTCCACTCCTAAAAGGGTAAAGGGATGAATGGTTGTATGGGAATCCATTGTAAAAATTAAAAGCATAAAATTTCATACTGTTTACAAATAAACTGGTTACAAATAAATAAATACATATTTCAGCATTTTTGAAAATCAATGTTGGTGAAATTTCTAAAAATGCAGAATGCAATTTCATGCTTCTTACTATAAAAATCACAAAGTTCTGTTTGTTAATGATTATTAACTATTTACAGAATATTTTAAAATGTAATAAGCATATAGCCTGTCTGATGGAAAATTATTACAATAGTCTGTAGTCATATTCTGTAATCATCAAGTGTCATTATGACTTCTTTAGTCATAATATTCTATAATAGTAAATAAATAAATATATGCTAAATACTCGGTACATGCCAAATTTTACAAAGACTTGTCTAGCAGTCTGACATTAACATAACATATAACATTAGTAAAGCCAACATTTTCGTCTTACATTGTTCTATTATTTTATAGTAAAAAGTACTCACTTTAATACATTGTTCAGCTAAATCTTTACTAGTTCGATTATTGGGGTCTACTGTAAGCAACCTGCTGCAAATTGCCTTGACAGCACCCTCAATAGCTACAATCCGTCTTGTACATTCCGCTGTAATACAAAACAAATAAAAAAAGAGAAAATAACACTCATTTTCTGTAATCAAATTAAAGAAAACGCCAAATGTACTACATACCAGAAACATCTAAGTAATAAGTAATAGCCCTGGCTGTAACCTCCAAAACATTGTCTGGTGCACATTCATCTAGGAATATTTTGCATAGGGCTGGTAGAAATGTTCTTGGGGGACAACTGTAAAATAATGATGTTTTGTAATAAGTAAGTGTACATACTAGATTCTATATATCAGAATATAACCTTTATAATAACTTTTTTTACCTTTCAAAACATCTATCAACATTATCGGACATTAACAGCAACATACAGAGCTGCTCAAGGGCAATGAGCTGCATGTCACGCTCATCACCCTGTCCCGTCAGCAACCATTCTAACAAAGTCTCTGGATCCACTTCAGCCATCTAGACAAATATAGATAAACAAAGTCTTAGTATTATTAGTTGGTATCTAAATTTCTACCTGTCTGTTGTAGAAAGGTTTATTCTAGAACCTTATATTTATAACAAACTAATATTTAAAAGAAACCTTGACTTTTTAATATGGAATATTATGATCAAATACAAAACTATAAAAAAAATCTTAAATACGTACTTTCAAACTTAACCTACTATAGTGCAGGGATTAATATTTAGAGAAATTATTGCAAAAATAAGCTAACGTTGATTCAATATTAGCCTTCAAACATATATAGTGATATGTAATGGCAACAATCATGCCTAAACTATAGACCTATAGAATATTTAAGGGATTTAAAACACTAATTAATTCATAATAATTGCCTCTCTTGTATTTAGACACATTATTTCTTTATGCTAGGATGCAATTTGTAAAAAAAACCTAAACACAACTAAAAACCGAATACACTGATACAATCAAAATTATAAAACAGTATAACTAAAATTTCTTTGAATTAAACACAACAATATTTTCTTTTATAACTCTCACTAACTTTACAAAGGTATAATAAATTCAGAATAATTTATAATTTAAAAAAATAAATGTAATAATTGAATAATTTATATTTTAATGAAATATTATTTAATATAATACTTTTATTAATTTTTCATTAAAGTATTTACCATTATACTAGTTTTCTTTAGTGTATTCATCAAGATAACAATTATTGTTAATGAATGTAGTGTGGATCCCACAAACATTTTTCATTCAATATACAAAATAGGTAGACAAGGAGGTACTCTTTCTTCTTTTAAAAAAAAAAAATAATAGCTTCCACGGTACCAGAGGTACTCTTTATTGTGCCATTCATAAGATTACATAATTTATAAAAACAAAAAAAAATAAGCCTAATGATATTGCAAAACATAAGTTGCAATTGTGTTTGCATAGCTGTGTTTCGGTTTGAAGGGTGGGATATGGCATGAATTTACTGGGTACAGAGGAATAACATCTGAGTCCTCAGGAATGGCAATGCATGGGGGGTATCATGAATGAAACAATATACTCTGTTATGTCCATAGCATGTCTATAGTTGACAGTTACCACTTTCCTTCAGGTGGACCATCAGCTTCTTCGCCATTCTAAGTTGCATAAAAAAATGTAATAAACCACATTAAGTATGTATGTAACTTTTCCTACCACAGATGCTTGTAGTGCCACAAACAAAAATACTATTGTTGTATTCCAGGAGGAGCAAAAATGGATAGTAAATAATTCATTTTATATATAGAGAAACCATGAGAGGCTACTAGGGATTAATTAATTATACACATGACAAAAAATTATGGCATTTCAAACAAAAATGAATTGATTGTGGTTGATTCAAGACCATGTGACTACTTAAAGGTTAATAATAAAGATGAAATGATTTTTTGTTATTGTTATAATAATAATATTACGCACCTTAGATGTATCAGTGGTCCAGATTTCCTAGAAAACATTAAATTACAGTTAACAACAATGATAAAATGACTCGAATCCAATGTTTAAAAAACTACATTCATAAAATGTATGTATTTTAAAATTATTAAAATTACAATATTTACCACCATAAAATAGTACTCTAACCAGATTTATCATCCAAAATTTTTGAGCCAAAACTAATATTATTTTGCAATTTTGTGAATTTGCTAATATTATATACTAACTTAAATCTATTTTCTTGCCTTCTAACAACTCTTTTGTAAACCCTTTCAATACATCTTACTAAAAAAAAATAGTGAATAAAATGAACAAATTTAATTTATAAATAATTAATAAATAAAAACAAATTATTTTATTTTTATTTATTAATTAGCTTTGGTAATAATATTTCAAAGATAATAAGTTTTTTTCTGCATATGAAATAATTTACTTGCAAACAGAAAATCTTAATAGTTAATTCACTTTGCCTTATATATTCTAACTATAAAAAGGTGTAAACTATTTTATAGTCAACTTATTGGATGAAACTCATAATTGTTGCAAATAGTATGGAATAATCTAACAAGGGATCAAAAGACTTAAAAAAAAACTACTACACTTTTTATATAAACAATAAATATGAATATATAATTTTTATATTAAGTACGAAATTATTCTCTAGAACATATATGCATATATACTTATGACAAAAATTTTTAAATTAACGATTGCTGTATTAAATGTACAAAACAAAACAATAGATATAAAGTAGGTTACAGCTAAATGAATAATGGAGAATGCACCTTTCTCTTTATGCTTATATGAATCGTCCCATTTTTAAACACATATTCACAGTTATATTGCAATATTTTCTAAAGAATAGATATAAAAATTGACACAACAAGTTTATAAATAGAAAACTTATACCAAAATAAATAGAAATGTTTGAGGACAAAAATGAAGGTTACATCTTACCAGTTACTTAGTACAGCATAATGAGATTCTTCGTGTTATCCACTATTAAGAATATATTCTCAGCCAGTATAATTAGTTTATAATAAAACAAAAACGCAAATATTACTGCGCTATTTCTAAATATACATTACATATTATAACAAAATCAAAACTCATTCATTGCCAAAATGCCAATTGCCAAAAAAGCATGCCATTTTCTATAGTATTGCCAGACTTGAATAAGTTAAGCCCCCTCAAAGTCCATTCTTAATCTACGCTAACTATGCTAAGCCCAGATAAAGCATTATATGTATACCTAATAACCACAGAGCAAATAATCAATACATTATGAGAGTTAGCACCGGCCTTATATCAACGAAACCTGAGAGAAAACATTAATACATGTAACCTTTTCAAACTAATAACACGATAAAAATTTATAAAAAAAAAATATCCATAGTGTTGTACCACTATCTATATATGCCGCCATCCAATATATCGGTATCGACAGTTTCCATAAAAAAAATCTAGCTATTTCATAACATATAATTTTTATATTTTATTAAAAACATGGACAATAAAACAAATGTGTTTAGTTACTTTCATTTACTCTACTACAATTTTAAACCTATTTTTTTCACAGATGATTAATGCAAATTCTCTTTGGTCCATTAAAATTTAATGATTAAATGGTAGAAGTATTTTGCCGAGTGAAAGAGCATCTGAAAAAAACACATATTCAGCTCTAAAGAATATAATTATACGTATTATATTATGCATATAAGAGAATATGTACTTGAAATAATGTTATAACTACGAATAGAGCTATTTCTTTTATAGATATAATATACAAAAAAATAACAATAACTTAATAAATAAATTAGAGATATTCGTACCTTGAACCTTGTACCTTGAACAGCAGGGAATTCTTCAAGGGTTGGTAGTATGAATAAGCAGATTTGGCAGTAAATGTCACTTTTATAATTTAAAATGTTCAAACAATTTGCAACATATACACTGTTAACACTAATACATACCTAGACAATAGTGGACCAGCATAAACGTACTAGGTAGGATGTGTAAATTATTACAGTGCAATGGTCACCATACTACCGTGCAAATTTAATAATAGTCGCTCGGTTGAGACGCTCTCTATGTGACACTATACTTTACTACTACAAGACTGTCTTATTGTTACGCTGTAAATCTTATTATAATATATCTATTTTAAAGTAAAACTAAAACTATTTAATATATTAAAGATGATTACTGCACCAACCGGAGTATTTATTAGTGTTGTATCAAACATATACAAATGAACACACAATATCATTCACAGTTTAAATAATACAATATTTATAACGTTTACCACTAAAAACAAGAAATTACATAGAAGGAGTGATAAAATTGACAATTCGTAGCAGTGTAAATCCTAGCCGTATAATCCTACTAAATTCAGATATAACTTGCTTGCATACTTTCTACATAAACTGTGTCGAATATATAATCTAGTAATGTAAAATTTAACATTGATAAATAATTGTGTTAATGATGTGCGTTTGCGTTTTGATGATGAACGGATGATGATGATGATGATGATGATGAATAAATACACCTAGTATTTGAAGCGATTTAACTAGGGTAAATAAAATAAATACTTTTGAAGCGTTGTATTAAATATAAATTTAATGTAATGCGTTGAAGGTTGTTTTGCGAGTCAGTTACAATTTTGAAAACCTGAAAGGTTATGTAAATTTCTCCTGCGTTATGATTGGCGTTCTCGCGATGTCATGATGAGCGACTCTTGTTACTGGTTGATGTTGTGCGTGATTATCTATTAATAACTTAGCAGTCGTCCATTGGTTTTACCGCTGAAACCGCTTCATTATATGCAGGAGTGAATAATATTAATTGCATATTGTTAATGCTTTAACAATTGACATATCAAACATTTTCTATACAGCAGCCGGCTGTGAATTGAGAAAAATAGCAACTGATGGCGTATCTTTCGTCCTCTTTCTACTATTTATATTTGCATAAGAAGAAAGAAGGCAACCATATGATTTACAGTTTTTATTTTATCATTCCTTCTATGTAATTCCACGCTTGGACGTAAGCCTATCCCATACACTGCTATAAAGAACGGTTCTTAACTACCTGCATCCACTGACTCCCTACAACGCATTTCAGGTCGTCATTCCATCTAGTGGGCAGTCGTCCTACATTGCGTTTACCCGTACGTAGTCGCCACTCAAGAACCTTTCTTCCTCATCAGTTGTCAGTTCTTCGAGCTATGTGACCACCCCATTGCCACTTCAGCTTGCTTTTCCTTTGGGCAATATCGATTATTTTGGTACTTTTGCGGATATCCTTGTTTCGGATTCTATCACGCAGACTCCGAGCATAGCCCTCTCCATAGTCCTCTGCGCAACTTTTTCATACGGCTTTCTCAATTTAGCTTTTATTTTTTTTTTATTTTTTTTTTATACAACATAGATAGGCAAACAAGCTGACGGCCCAACTGATGGAAAGTGGTAACCGTCGCCTATAGACATGAGCAGTACCATAGACATAACAGAGTATACAGTTCCGCCCATGATACCCCCCATGCGTTGCCATTCCTGAGGACTCAGGTGTTATTCCTCTGTACCCAGTAAATTCACGCTTTTGCATACGGGCAATCGTGTAGGACCACGTTTCAGTTCCGTAAGTCATCACTAGCAACACACATTGATTAAAGACCTTCGTCTTCAAATTCTGAGGTATTTTGTATCAAAAGATGTGGCGTAGTTTCCCGAACGCTGCCCAGCCGAGTTGGATTCGTCGGTTGACCTCTCGGTCGAAGTTAGACTTACCCGTTCGAACAATTTGTCTCAGTATACATACTCATCGACAACTTCGGGCGTAGTGTTCTCAATCGTAATCGGTATAGGTGTGAACATGGACGTTAGACATGATCTTAAGACCTACCTGGTGACCTACATAGTATTCAGATCCTCCAGGGATTCCGCCATAATTACTATGTCATCGGCAAATCAAAGGTGAGTGATGTATTCGCCATTGATGTTTATACCATTTCTTTTCCAGTCCAATAGTTTGAAAACTTCTTCCAATGCAGCTGTGAAGAGTTTCGGCGATATGACGTCATTCTGTCTTACACCTTTCTGCACTGGGATGGGTTCTGTACTCGGATAGACATCGTAGCCTTACTGTACATATACTTCAATACTTCGATATATCTATAGTCAATCTGGCACCGCTGGAGGGACTGTAGTACCGCCCATATCTCGACCGAATCAAAGACTTTATCATAGTCCACAAATGCCAGACATAGTGGCAGATTATACTCTTCGGTCTTCTGTATAATCTGCCATAGCGTATGTATGTGGTTTATAATGCTAAAGCCTTTTCGGAAGTCAGCTTATTCGGGTGGCTGGAAGTCGTCCAGTTTGCGCGTAAGACGATTGGTCAGGACTCTCGAAAATAGTATGTAGACGCGATTCAGAAGGGATATCGGTCTATAGTTCTTCAATAGGGTAATGTAACCCTTCTTGAAGAACAGGACTATCGCACTTCTGCTCCACACTTCTGGCCTAACACCGTTATGGATCACGAAGTTAAATAGCTTCTAAAGGACTACAAGTATCGGGTTTCTACCCGCTCTCTGAAGCTCTGCTGTAATTCCCAGTGTCCTCATCAGATGCCTAGCTGTTTCATTGTGTTGTTACTACGAAAACGTAACGTGCATTTCAATTTTTTTATGCACCAGATTCTGTTGATATGTTGTCCGGTGCGAAGTTTTATAACGTACGAGAACTGTAAATCATGTGATTACCTTCTTTCTTCTTATACAAATATAATTAGTAAAAAGAGGACAAAAGATATACCATCACTTACTATTTTTGTGCAGCAGGCTAGTGTATAGAAAATGTTATACAGTAGTATAACCCTACCAAATTTAGATACAAATTGCTTTCATACTTTCTACATAAACTGTGATAAATAATTGACATATCAAACATTTACTATACACTAACCTGCTATGAATTAAGAAAAATAGCAACTGATAGTGTATCTTTTATTCTTTCTCTTTTTACTAATTATAATTGCATAAGAAGAAAGGAGGCAACCATATGATTTACAGTTTTTATTTTATCATTCCTTTTATATAATTCCTTGTTCTGTGGTAATTACTTGCTCTGTAATTTTTTCATTATTTTTACCTGTGGTCCATACACTCTGTCTTCGATCAGTTTTCAGTGATATGTTGTATTTGTTTTTTTCATTTTCTGAATATTTTTTTTCCTTCATTCCATATATACATTACGAATACATTTTTTGTTTATGTGGATAAATTAATACTATAAATGTTAATTTATAAATGAATAAATAAAAGTTATCACTTTTTAATCTGTTAAAATCAACGACTACAAATGAATTGATTATCAATCAAAGAACATTATCGTGCTCATTGCTGTTTTCTCTATTCCTTTTTTTAATTGAACTTAGAGAATTTTATCATTGAATATATTTTTTGGTAAGTAATATTCTTTTTCTTCTATGGAATTCCAAACAATCAACAAGTGACTCAGGAGTACTTGATTAGGATTTGACAGAAAAGTCCTACTTTATAGAGTGGCTTTTTATTTTTTCGTGTTCAATTTCCACATTTTATGGATATGTCTACATTAATGAAATGAAATCATTTCTGCATACATTTACTATAGGCGTTTAAGAAGGAGGGTCTGATGTGCCATGCCCACCCTAAAACTGGCTCGTGCCTCCAAAATGCGAATGAAGCTTCACAAAATTGTTTTTAAGTTATATACGTTTTTTAAGTAATCAATGCCCCTTTCCGCCCCTAAAAATAATTCTAAATACATTCACTACTATCCAAGCATTGCTTATAATGCACCAGTGAGATGGAGTAAACCAATAGTGCAGGTGGGGTTATATTTTCACCCATTAAAAAGTCCCTGCTTTGGGGACATTAACTATTGCTGGATTACAATTTCATGATGATTTAGTTGAACTGTTAAAGCACCAAGAGATAGTATTAAGTTTCTTTATTTCATTAGTATTTTTACAACTAAATAAATAAACCTAAATAATCAAGTATAAATAAGGATTTACTATTGTCTGTTTGCTTATTAACAAATGCCTCCTTCAACTATCTCCAATGGTCTCTATTATTAGCTGTTTTTATCAAAATTCTACC